TTTAAAAAGTATCAGTCTCCTAGTTCTGGCTAAATTTTTTTCAGATAATTTATATGGCTAAAAAATGGAATTAAATGAAATTAACCTCTTGTACTTGCATAAAGTATGCCATTGTGTTATCAAAACTTCTACGAATTGAGCTTGTAATTCTACCTCAACATGTACTGAGGCTTTTTTAAGTAGTAAAATAATGTTTTGTTTAATTGTTTGGGATGGAATGATCTATAAAGTCTGAGGTTGAAAAGTTTTGTTCAAGGTTATTTCATAGGCCTACAAATATGAATAAGTACACTGAACAACAAAGTTAGATATATACGTTTATATGTATGTATTTATATGTGAGCGCAAGATAAATAACAAACACATAAAGTTGTGTTTAGATTGTCAAGCGGTGAACGTGTTAACATAGGTATTTTAGAAATTACAGATTCAAATTATACTGTTCTCTGAACAACCCCAAAACGATAACGTTCTGATAAACAAATATAAAAGCGACATGAGTAAAGAGGTATTATGTATTTAGAAAGAGACAGAAATAGATCAAAGTATTTCATATCCATCATAAAAGAAATATGCTCACACTTCTTAACTGAATGTCTCTAGTTATCGGCATCTGTTAAGGCTAACATAGTCAAAATTAACTCCAAGTAATTACAAAGCTATTTATTTTATGGAGATTATACTATTACGACTTTTTTACAGCCCATTGGTTGCACTGTTCCCCATGAAGTGTTGAGAAGTAAACTGTATCCGACCACATTGTCTTACCTACGAGAAGTTAATTTCTATTTAGAACGAAATCACTCAATTCGGAATTATTTCGGTCGCTTAAAGTGGATGCAGAAAAGTGATTAAAATTGGTTTCCTTATGGTATTTAAATGTCTTAAGTCCACAGATCCAAATCTTAGCCACTAAATGATAAAACCTCATTAGTTTGATAATGACAGGCCTTCGAAACGTCAAATGACTTGTCCATAATTTATGACTAAATGTACTGCATTTCCAGAATTTATGGACTGTTCATAATTGGAAGTAAAAAAGCTCTTGTGGTTATTTACTTTTTCAAGCTTTTCGATGGTTTTAAAGCTAACAAAATTAATTTTCGAAAACAAACTAAGTTGTTTTGAGCTCAAAAATCAAATATAAATTATAAAAGGTCATACCGAATGACTGAAGTCTATGTCAAAAAAATGATTCGAAGTCTTGATTTCTCATCTTTCTTTGAATCGCGCCATTATGTCCTTTGTGCTTGTAAGGGTAATTTGTAAAGGATCAGAAAGGAAAGAATGAAGTCTTAAACTACCTATGATTAAAAGTCATTGAATGAAGTGGGATACAGAAGGGTATTATTCATTTTAAAACTTAAAATTATAAATCATTTATCGGTTAAACATGCTTCAAAACCTGATTACTGATAAATAAGTGCAATATTTATCTTAAAATGTCACTTGTAATTAAAAGTAAGGAAGATATGTTGTAATCATTATCAACTAACAACAACTAGCTTATTAGAATAAAAAAGCATTTTAAATTCCGGGCTGTAAATGTAGCTTAGTTCTGATTGTGTAGGTAGTGCTTGATTTTACAAAAGCTCACTTTATTGATAATATTTTCACAAATTGGACTATATTTATTTGTTAATTTGAATGTAATTTATTCATCTGTAGTTACTTTACCATCGTTTTAAAACTACTTATCCGTATAACGATGGTCATTTGCAACTAGATTCGTGACCATTCGGCTTTTTCCACTGAAAAAATAAGGGAGATAAAGTATACAAGACTACATACTATTTTTTTACTTTAAACTATGAATGAATTTTATTTATAATCTAACTTTAGATATACCGGCCAATTTACACTTGTTTGGTCGTTGATAACTTGAAAGAATTTATTTGCGGAACTGGTAACGGATTATTAATATTTACAATCGATAAACGTATGTCTTTATTTCGCTGTTGTAACGTAGTTCACAGTTCATTGTTTCATCTGTTTCAACTGGTTTTTGACCAAGGAAATCAAACATGAGGAATGTCATTTTATTTTATTTTGCTAAAATCAAACTTGATATCTGTATAGGGAGAATCGGATAAGTATTGCTAAGACTTTTAGCCAGAGCCTGAATAAAATAGGCCAAATTATTCTTATTCTTAAGATACATCACATAAACAATGCATCGTCATGGAGGGTGCCTGGAATATTCTGTAGTAGCTTCTACTGACAGTATTTATATTTCTCAATGGCTTCATAACACAACTTCCTCGAGTTCAAATCAACCTGGGTTCGCCTCGATACTTTGTTGTTGTTGAAGCGTCTGTACATCGACAGGTGAAAATAGATACTAAAATTGAACACAAGTGCCTTCATTCAGCGTTTTAATCAAAATAGAACATTTCCCAGCTTCAATGAAACTTAACATTCTTATGTCCCAGACAGATGAGAGATCAAATATATGTATGAGTTTCCAAGTGTAGAACAGTCGTAACGGAAAATAGTTAATTGTTATCACGGTTGAGCATAATGAAATTAAGCTCTTGCCCAAATCGTTGAAAAATCATGGTTATGTTATCGCAACTTTAAATGAGACTCATATCTGTTCATGTCTTGATATTTTAGTCCAAGCTTTAGCGTGATTTTCCGTTATTTGCGACGAAGTATGTATTTAGGGACAACAGTGTTCTCAAGGAAAAGTCTTGATGAAAACGCATCCCATCCCCAGTTTCCGTAACAAATTAAGTGTCGAGAAATTAAAGTAAATATCTTTATCAAACTTTTATTAGTAGCTTGTCACTTCCACGTTTTCAATGCTGGTATAACAACTATCGGTTCGTGATCTTGATTAAAACTCAAAAATCTCTACAACCCTATACTGGTAAACCCTTGTCTATAAGACATCTTTTTAGACTTTCTATACGCCAAATTCAGCTGTAATCAAGTCTATGAAAATAGAAGTTAATGTGGATTTTCATGTCTTGAAATTAAAGTATAAAATTAGATTACTGTTAAACTTGATTTTAGATTATTGATATTGATAACGAAATTTCATCTTTTGATTATAAGACCGTTCGACAGGAAAGTTTCTTAATGTTCATGAGAAGAGGCATCTGAAAGGACATGCGGATGTGGTACGTTGTCTAGTCAGCTTTGAAAGCCGCATCTTCTCAGGGGGGTAAGTTAGCGAATACTGTAAGTGAATTACTACATGTTTTGGTTTTAGTTTTTGCCAAAGTGAGAAATCAAATTAAAGATGAAAGTTTGATAAAGTGCTGACTATACCCCACATAACCCAGGTTTTTAGATTTCTTGGTAATTAGAAAAAAAGTATCCGTAAAATACAAGTATTCATATCAAAGAAACTTGATTATGTGAAAAGTCAAATTCTGCTATATGTTATGTATTTTGCATTTGATAAATTTAACGTTGCTTGCAATTAGTGATTAGAGTTTATTATGATTTTGTAACTAGTTGTTAATTTCTGCATAACTTTGAGCTTAAAACGGCATACTAAGTATTGCTTTTCTCATAAAACTACCTTTCAACTTTAACAATTAACGTTTGAGTTTCTTAAGAGAAAAGTGTCTACTAATATGTAAAAACTGGAAATGTCTAAGCCACGCTCCATACATCTATTTACCTCTGAATAAACTTCCTTTGTTCCAGTAATATTAATCAAGTTGCTGTGACTATTATCAAGAGAATAAACTAAAAATAAAGAATAGGTAGTAAATGATTTAACATAACAGATTTATTAAAAAACGTTGGTGTAGATGCTCACTAAAAATATACCATGAATCTAGCCAGTTTTTACATACCAATGATATTATGATGTTTAGTAGGTAAAGATGAGCTGTTTCTCAATCGAAAATCCCAAATAAACCAGAATTTATTTAACACTTATTAATCCAGCACGTACAATTTAGAAACAACAACAAACTACAACTACTGGATTTGTACCTGTTGCATAAACAGTGTTTGATTGCATATAGGAACAGTAAAGAGATCATTTTATCCAGATAACACTGTCCTCCTGAATTTCTAACCAGACGAGTAAAGTGCCCCATTATTTGCAAATTATTTATGTTGTTAAAAACATTTCGCAATTTATGAGAAATATCAGTTTTGAAAAATATATTAACTGGCTAGAATTTTAAACAGCTAGAAATAAGGAAATCATAGGACCCATTATATCTTAATATTGACACAACTGATAGCAGGGAAATAAATATACTGTCAATCAGTACTAAATATTATTCTGTTTGGAAAAACTAAAGGCTACTTAGATTCAGTAACTTAGTAAGTGGAACTTGAGCGTTAGAAACCAACGGGTCGACATTTCACTGTGAACATAAACACTAAATCTATGCTACATCCAACAAACGAGTTATTAGTAAGACGAGACATGTGTCTTAAATTATAACACGTGGAAATATCTTAAATTTAATCTGAACAACAATAGAAAATAAAGACTTCCTTTGAACTGCTTGGGTAACTGCAGTTTAACACATTTTCAAAAATACCGATTTATTCTAAAATGTAAAAAACATTTCGCCGCTGAAATAGTTTATACAAACACATCTATATTGTAAACATTTTATTAAAGCTTCAACAGATAACACTATTTCAAATTTTTCGTATATTAAGAAAGTGATTCGCTTCATTTCCGCTACATATTATGTAATAAATGACTATTGTATATGTATTCCAAGTTCAAAATCTATTATGAAATCATTTTTACTCAATCTCCTCCAAGAAAATTCATTTATTTAACACTTGCTTTTATCTTAATTTAAAATAAAATCAAGATTTGATGGTCAAATTATTGTTTACGATACATGTGGTAAATTAGATCCGACAACTAGAATTTTACTGAAGATCCCAGAGCACATGATGGAATCATATCTTGTTTAGTTAAAGCTCACAATGTATATGATCATCAAAAGTTAGTGATCAGTGGGAGTTTTGACAGACATGTAAAAATCTGGAACGATGAGGGACAATTGATGCATACAATTGAAAACTTCAGTAATGTTATAATCAGTAAGTTGCATTCTTTCGTTATTAGCGAACATACTGTAATATGATCAGTTTATTTAAGCTATAGGTTAAATATCAGAAACTATTGTCCATATTTATGTAAGGTCTCGTATTTGTAGATAGCCCGGCATAACTTTAAATTCTACCAAGAATAATTTCCGAATAGAAAAAGTTACTATATTCTATGTATGATAAATTAATTATCAGTGTAGCAGAAGTTCATCTTACAAAGGACACTAAAGCTGTCCTTATTTGTTGTTCAATGTGCTAGTGCGTATTGTGTAAATATGACAATTTTATTAGTTTGTATGGGACATTATTCAAAGATGGCTCTAGTTTGCCTACAAGAATAATAATAATCTATTAAGGCTTGACTGAAATAAACTGTTGGATTACTTTAAACAGCTAAGTTACTAATATATTTGATAGAATATTTCAAAGAAACATGAATTCTAATAATTATTTATCAATGACCTGGAACTTTTGCAGCCTTTTATAGAGAAGAAACCCGACAGTCTGTTTTTTGTTTGCTTTATAGACCTTCGACACTTTGAACTTGACATGATTTTGTACGTATACATCATCGAGGCTTGTACGACAATTTTCAGGCTTCAAATAATAAGTTTTCAAAGTAGTACTCTGTTAACCAAATAAGAAATACATACTGCACATGTAAAAAATGGACTCTGAAAACACCTGTTTAAAAAATCAATGATGAAAGTCTGCTTGAAGTCCTAATGTAAATGTAACTAAAATAGATAGTGCTTCTAAATTACAGGACCATAAAAAGACAAATAAAGGCTACATACCTGTAAGCTTGGAAGCATACATTCAATGTATCCATCAAGAAGAGCTGATTACTTTCTCTACATCGTACTAGAGCGACATATTTGTGACTCAACTTTGAATACAAAATCCTGATGAAAACTTGCTTGTTATAAATTATTTTGACTTTATATAAGTTTAACCTACGCCTAATTCAGTATGTTAGTCAGAAATGACATAAATACAATCATGAATTACTTTGAGGATAAAAGTATCTTATGTAGTAAAGAATGGTTAACTTCCTGTAAAGTTATTAAACAATACTATTCTATCCTTTATATATGATTTATTATGTAATGGACTTTTTGATGTTTCATTTCAATTAACTATAGGCATAGCTCATATCCCCACTACTGATACATTTTGGGTCACGTCAGGAAGTTGTCATGCTAGAATATTCGATGTTCAAACAGGTGAAGACGTGAGTGTAATATGTAAAAATTAGAATTCATAATTTGAATGACAAAATAATTAGGCTTAAACAATCAAAATGGTGATAATAAATGTATTTTTTTATTATGTTTTAATGAGTAGAAAACTGTGTTCCTGACGTTTTGTGACTTAATGTAATCCACTTCTTCAGAGTTAATAAACAAGTCAGACTATTTAGGTGAATTGCTCGCTAAGTATATAAGTTACAGCTTCCAAAGTAAGCGATTCTCTAAAAAGTATCGTTTTTTCTTTGAATTTAAACATTACGTTCACGATTTAAGCCAGCCTAAACTAGAGAACCACTTTTCTAATTCGGTTCGACCTCATTTTAACAACTTTAGAGCAAAAAAACTACATTCGGTCAAGCTGTTTATTATAGGTGGTCAGTTTTTTAGACCGGAAATTAGTAGTGGTATAAATGTTGAGGTTACAGTTTTATTCCTGATAAGTTGACTGTTTTACAGAAATATCTAAAACATTATACACAAATAGCTAATACTTAAAGTAGTATTTTTGAGTGAATGACATCTTGGACTCTGTGAACGAATGGTTAAAAAGTGAAATACTCGATTAAATCAGTACGTGAAATACTAAAGTAGACTGCAGGAGATAACCTTTTCTCATGACAGTTATCAGATCACTACAATCTTGGAGGTCACTTTCTGTTTCCACAACACGGTTTGAATTTATTTGGGAATTTTCACATTTTGGCACCAAATATTACAGTTAAACTTTTTTGTAATAATAGGAACTTTTTGAAAGTCCCAGAATTTAAAAAATAAGAGTACTAATCGATATCTGGTTTTTCATGTTAATTCTTCCAAAAAGTATTAGATTTTTGTAACCAGTCGTATAGATATAATGGATCTATATCAACCTCAGTGATATCTGATATCTCTTAAGTTGTTCATTCATTTGTGACACCACTTTTCGAATATATCAGTTTATTTGGATGACAACTAGTTAGAAATTGTAATGGTGTCAAATTTACAATTTAGAAATGATAGATTATGGTTACTATGCCTATTAGTTTTACAACATTACTCTTATTTTGTCAGGTAACAGAATATGTTAATACTTTTATGAATTGGGAAAAACGTCCTTATCAGTTACGTTTGATCACTTTTTGCCCAGACTTAAATATGATAGTTGGTAAGTTTTAGCAATAGTAGCAATTAGGAAAGTATATAAAAATCTTACATTTTTTCGATAACTTTTATGACTTTTTATAAATTTGTTTGTGGTATGCAAGAATTTCGACTTTTCTTCTCATCATATCAAGAACACATGATAATAGTCGTGAGGTATTTTTCGGTTGTAACAAAGTTTGGTGTTTATTTAATTTACTCAAAACCGTGGAGATTAAAACTGGAAATTAGTAATAGAAACTGATATGACTAGCAGCCATAACTGGGAATGAAAATTACTCATAACAAAAAAGTTCGTGACAAAACACAATATAACCAAAATAGCCACAGATGAAGAACTGAAAAAACTCAGGCTACAACTATAAAATGAATTGAAATTAATATGCTGTAGTGTTTTATAAGGCATGTATTATCCTGTTGTTAATATTCAAGACTGGGTTCGGATATGAATATTTTAGGATGCAAACCCTTAAAAATGAAAATCTTACCCCTCGCCTTTCTGGACTTGAAAGTTCACGGAATAACTCATTGCTATTTAAAGATGTAGTTAACGTACTCGTGTCTTTAAGTGAACATACTGAGATGACGAGTTCGCAAGCACGCGTTCCGATGTATTCTGGTAGCTTCAATCTAAATGTGATAAATAATACTTTAATAACAATAAAGTAATTTAATTAAAAGACATGATCACTTGAAGTATTTTCTTTTTAAATCAACTAATCAATTAATAATTACGGAACACCATGCAGTGGAAAGAAGACAGCCACCTAATATATTCGGGATTATTTTAATTAATTGAGTGATATCAGAGTGATGATTTCTCGATGAGTTATTGAAAGTAGTCACATGTTTTTGGACTAAAAAAAGGTACTTCTTTTTTTAAAATTTGTCAGTAGGTGATTCAAGATGTTGGAATCGTGAGTCAATTGAGCCTAGATCACCATGGAAAACCAAGAAGCACTGGACAGCCGTTTAGTCCTAGTATGGAACTCCTAGAGGTATATGCTGGAGTTCTAGTGCAAAGCCGTGACCAGTGGAGTTCAACCAGGTCTTCTGTGACAAAGTAACTCACTGACGACAACGGTGAACGGTCACACAACTTCTTGGATTGGTTGAAGTTAGGCATTAACACCACTGGATAACGGCTCAGTAGTCTAATAGTTAAGCGTTCGTGCGCGAGACCGCTGGGTTCGAATCCCGCGAGGCGGGACCGTGGATGCGCGCTGCTGAGGACTCCCATGCCAGGACAAAGCGGACGTCCAGTGCTTCCAGGTTTTCCATGGTGATCTAGCTTAAATTGACTCATGAATTCAACTATTAAATTACTATAATATCCACGAAAACCCTTCTCTGATTAACGATGTGCTTGCTTGTGGCTCAAAATAACTTTCGGAACGGAACAGATGAATTCAATTTGTTAACAATTTGAAAAGTTGCTTTCAGAAATCAGATTTTATTGCTATAAATATGGATATGCCTTTAAAACCATGAAGTTTAATGCTTATTTAATATGTAATAAACACAATTTCGAAATGGCAGTTTATATATTACCCAAAGTAGATACAGTCACACCAATCTATTTTGCAAAAAAACCAACTGACATTTTCCTTCTAATTTATCTGGATTGCAGTTGAGAGGAATCTTATTTGTGACATTTAGCAGATATCTACAGTCTGAGTTACACGATGTAACTGTAGTGGATGGATAACTTTAGTTTAATTGCTTTTTCTGTCCCCTATAATCATCCACAAGTCTACTTGTATAAAATCGTATTCCTCCAGTCTTTTAAATATTTCATTTACGAATTGAAATAAATACCTCCAAACTGTTATATAACCTTTGTTTATTTATAACTAATGACTGATAATGATTTTTATGTTAAATACATTTTTCAAGGTTCTACAAGTCGTCAGTATTTAATAGTCTGGAAGTACAACAGCGAGTCAAGTGCATTAACACTTAAAACAGAAAGTGGAATCCAGTGTTTGTGTGCAAGTAAATTAATACTTATTATTTTCGTACTAATTCATTCAAAAGTCTAAATGGTACATACTTTCACTATAAGTCTGCTAGGAATAAACATTACATCTACTATTCAACAATATAAATGCTTCAACTACCAGGCTTTGGTCACAATCATTATAATACCACTCACTTAAAGTTACGAAATGCTAAGAAAAATTCAAATAGTTAAAAAAATCGTTCAAAAGTTGAATTTGATTGAGAAAAACTAACAACTTACGGTAAGGCTATCGCTATTACCATATTCCGCTTACATCTTTTTGGCTTATTATATTCTCATCACAATTTCTGTGTAAGATTCTAAATAATTGTGTATATGCGTATGATTTGTAAACAGATTTGCACTAGGCCTATAGTATTAATTGATGGAGTTTCATTTTATCGAGAGGATTCAGTCATGCGACGCTCTATAGAATGTGTTTACCTTTACATTAAAAACAATAGTAATTGTTGAGGCCCGTTATTTAATCGTCATTTAGATCGAAAGATGTTGTCGAAAGAGCTCTCCACTTTAGTGGCCCGAGATCTAACTCCAAGGAGATCGTAATGATGATTGTTATTGAAATACATATGTTGCCTATCCTCGTATATAATCATCGACTTTAATCGCGTTAGTCAATAACGGATTTAGATAAGTCAAATAACGAGAATGGGCTTCTAAATACATATGTTTTGTATATGAAGTGAATGGAATAAAAAGAAGAGAAACGACGAGCAGTGGAGATAGCGGGTAAGCCAACTCCCTTTTGTCGAGCGTTAATCAATATTTATAGCCATACAAAAATAAGTTGCAGACATGTGATGAGTAATGGGATAAGGATTGTATACACACCTACGCGCTCATATAAAAACAGTCAAGATTGATAAGCAAATAATTAACAAGGTCAGAATGTGACTCAAGTAGGATGAATAGAATGGACTGTCCGAAAGCTAGAATAAGGTATATGGGCTTAACACAATAAACGACATTACATAATATTCATTAGGTCGAATGTGAAATTTATTTTTTCGTCGTTCACTAGAGTCAGTTGGATGTTTACTGAATGCAAAGTACCAATGATCATCCGTTTTGTTCAAGCCAAAAGTTACTTAACAGTAACTATGGTCATCCTGATATGATCAAACCTAACATCTAAGAGTGCTTTAATAAACATCTGATACTGTCTTATGGAAAAAAACAATACACATGTTTTTCTATTCATCAACTCGACGAAATGAAATTATTTGAAGCCCAAATATTTAAAAAAGATTCACTGGTGAAGAATAATTCAGAATACCTGTTTATCCATTGAATAATTTACGATATCGGTATGATATCACCATTTCTACCTAATATCAATGACCTAATGTTTCACTAGATATAAATGAAATATCCATTCTCTTGAATTTAATATTCATAATGTTACTACATTATATTATAACACGAAACTAATGACTTTACGTTTTCTTTATCAATCCATTTTAAACTTATCTTTGAGTTTATTTGGCAAAAGGTTGATCACCCATTTTAAACTGTATTATGCTATAAAGAAAGGAACTGTTATCCCTACATTAGTCAAATTTATTGTGGGCACATTTTTACTACCCTGTATATGTCGTGGTGATAACAAGCTATTTTCTCTAGTCAAAAGTAAATTATTAAAATCAATAACTCACTTATAGCATACTTTAAGTTTAAAGGTTAGTTTCTGAGTCTGTCCAATACATCCTTTGAGGTATAAAAGTTTGTTTTTTTTTCATGTAAAATTACAAAGAGAAATTTCTTAACTCAAATTAAAATGATGTCTGTTGAGTAACTTAACTATTAAGTGTAAATAATTATGAACTGAATGTAGTTTAATCCAAGTGATAAATTTAAGTAAATGAAATTCTCTTTTAAAATGTAATTTAATTTATCATGTCATGAATGACTCATAATTTTGTTTATAATTATGTTTGTTTATGTTAAAGGTTACAAACCACCCTTTTCAATATTTTCTTCTGGATCCAATAATCATCTTTCTAGATGGGAACGTAAAGGTCAAACCCATTTCTCATATGTGTATGTGTCTTTTTTGTTGTTAATTATTTAGTGGTCAGTAATGTGTTGAGCAATATTTTTTTAAGTCGATTAAAAAGGTTATAATGGTTTTTTAATTTTTATCAATATAAGACCCATAGTTACCAACTATAAAAGGGGTTTTTAAAAAAAAATTAAATCCTTATTCTGAATTAAATAAATGATAGTTGGCCTAGTTGACCTTTAATTTTCATATATAAATGTTCTTAACAAGTATATGTGTGATCAGATTGTTCGAAATGTATCAAATATATCACATAATTCTGATAAACTACGTCTTTTCATTGCATTATCGAAAGTTATATGTTTACCAAATAGGAAACTAAAGTGTATCCATTTTTAAATGGTATTTCTGTTTATACATAGGTCGTATATCAGTGATATAATATCATATATTGTATAAGGTATGAAGTTTTAATCTGAGTTTTAAACATCCTGACAGTATAGAATCTACTAGTATTTGTAAATTATTTCAAGTGTTCTGAAATCTACTTTTAAACAGATTCTTTTGATGATTTGTTTATATTCTTTAATATAAGTGTCAATACCAAAGTTTGATTCGATAATGTCGAATAAATTGAGCATTGGGTAGATTATCAGTAATAGAAATGACTGATTTGCATAATCTCAAATAGAAAATTAAGTTTAAGACATTTTCTGACTTATTGTAAACCACTACGAATTAAATCAACACAGATTTAGATAGTATGAAGAGAGCAAAGTAGAATGGTTTCAGTACTAACAAGCTAAAATTGGTCTGATCATGTTAATGTCATGTTATTTCGTCTAAGGCGATTCTGTGTGTGACTTGTTATATATATTTGTCTGTTAGTAGATATGGAATATGTGATATTTCATTAAAGCTATAATATACTGACGACTTTGAGCGAATTATCAGCCGATCAAGAAACACGTCTTAGTTACAAAACAATTCATAACAAAATGTATGAAAGCTGCTGTGGAATAATGAGTTTGATATGAATAATCAACTTCTATGTGTCAAATTATTCATTATGGTAAAGGTAAAAAAGGTTAAGTTTACGTGATGTATGTCGGGCTAGCGTTGTGTGTTAAGGTTTTAACCCTATAGGGTTTTCGTCACCAATTGGTATCAGCTATAATGCTTGAAGGTTTAAGCTTAAGAATACAAGTCAAGTAAGAGTCCTGTGTTGAAATTACAAATAAGAGTTGTTTTCATCCCAAATTGATATAAGCTATAATAAAACCATGCTTTGCAACCTTTTCATTTACTTAGGATATGTATTCAGAGTCAGTAATTAGTGTGCAGGAATACTATCTAGCTACAAAAACACCTTTGATCAGGCGTTAAATTAAATCAAGTATTTTGACGTACAATACACCTCTGGAGTAGGTATTTCTTGTAATTTAGACTAAGCATCATGTCATATACACTATTTGGTTGCGTGGCAGATGTCTTGTCAATAAAATGCACTTTAGGAGCCAAATATTGCCAACTTTCACTTAGTTGATAATAACATATAAGCTGTCCTGCACTGGCCCCCAAATGCCCTGGTACGGCCGAGAGTGGGGAGAATCCGCTCTCCCTCTCCAAATGCTCTCACATGGCCACGCGTATATAGCCTCTGCCAGGGAAGTCCTACTCACTGCCTTCTCGTGGCGGGGTGTTGTTTACGAAAATGAGAGGACGAAAAGCGAATGTCCGGCGCTTTAACCGGATTTCAAATCAATGGTGCACATGGGCTCCAGTATCCTGCGGGAACAAATGGCGCATGAACCAATCGTTGGTCACCGGCTTCCATGGGACTGCATCTCCTTACGATGCTCCACTGCCTTGTGGATCAGACTTTCAGGTCGAAGGCTCGGGATGTGGTCCCCTAAGATAACCAATTGCTTCGGTTTGGGCACCCGGGCAGTATCACAGCCCTCACACATATCTAATGATATTTGTGTGGCGCATATGTATTTGGTGCCTCCTTGTACCAATATGTATGTGTTAAAATAAATAATGTCCTGCACTTGGCTATCAATTTTGTGAAAAAAATCGGAAATGGGTTATCTTGTTCCTATTTGGTTAGCATAAGGCCGACAGTACACCGTATTTTTACATATATTTCTAATGTGGGAGAGTAGAGTTAGAAACAATTTATATGTTTGTCAATAGTATGATCTGTGGTTTTTTGGACAAATGGTTCATATTGAATGGCTCGTAAGGCTGTCTTCTCTGTCAGATGGGGTATAGTTTAACAATGTATGAAAAGCTTCAATTACTTGCCTTTATTAATAATGGGAAAAGTCCTTTCGAATTATTTTTCAAATTAATAATATCAATCTGATGGTTATTGAAAATAGTTCTTACTGATGCTCTAGTTCGACAGCATAATTTGAAGGTATTTTCGTGTGGCTTAGGTGTTCTTTGGGCGAATCATTTCACGAAAGGACTTCGTAATATATAATCCATCATAGACCACACATCTTAGTATGTGGGCGCAATTCTGTACAGAGGTGATAGAGATTTCTTCTTCAATTTAGATTAAAGTAATTTAACGCGTTACTTGTTTGATAAAAAAAACTTTGTGTGATTTAAGAACCCTCTGTAGTTCTTCTGTTGTGCGATGACAGTAAAACAGAACTACTTTCCAAAGCATGATACTTCATTCAACTTATTACTATTCAACGAAACAATATTTAATTTTAATAAATTTCCAATAATATTCACAGGAAAGTTCTCAAGTTGGTTGATGTCAATTATATTTTTCCGTGCTTTTTGAAACTACAAAAAAAATGATTCCAATAAAATGGTTTATAATCTCTCAAACAAAACATGAAATCATTCTATTGGAAAAAGTTTCAAGTTGTCTAAAACGCAGTCAAAAATACACTACCAAAATAAGAATTGAGGTGAGCAAAAAGAAAATTGTAGTGACGAACTTTGTATGTAAAATTAATAGGAAGATACCATACGTGGATCTCTCTTATTATGATTGATTGTGAATCATACCACTTAAAACTTCAAACACGATCTTTCAAAATTCATTAGACTAATAAAAAAAGACAGAGACTCATCTACATAACCTAAACCGGCAGACAATGTTTCTATTGGTCAGTTTTGTGTCTAGATTTAAAGTCGAATTATAATATACATTTTGGCCACATTATTCGGCGCAACTTGCAAGTTGGGCTTTTCTGATTGTGATGAAAAAATTGTTTATCGGGAATTCTGTTACATCTAAAGAACGGATATATTTACCATTCTCATAATTTGTATCACTGAAACAGTATATTGATTCACATCAGTAAGTTGTGTTGAAATATGAACACTGTCGAGTTTGTTATTTTCATTATAACTTCAATTTTTTATTTTAGTCGACAAGAAGAAACGATACACGAGTCAATTGATAAAAAATTATCTGAATGGTTACAAGAGAAATTACGTACACAAGCTGTACAGACAAAAGAAATAGAAAAATTAAAAGCATCATTACCCAAAACGTTATTATTACCTAATAATAATAATAATATGTATTCAGCTAAGCGGTCAATGACTCCCTATACATATCTTCAAAGTAAATTACCAATTGGAATAAAATCTAGACAAAATACAGTGGCCATGATCAACTGTCAAAACTCAACTGCTTATAATACAAAAGAAATAGTACTTAACAAGGTAGAGAAATTTGCCATTATTTCCCTTCAAAAATTTATTTCTTGAAATTGCATTTTCATATATTTGGATGATAATATTTAATAATAGTAATAGTAGTAATAATAATAATATTCAACAGAGATATACCTGGGCTTTGAAAAAAACTGTTGTTTCACATCCGTATAAAAAGATATTATTAGCCAGTTATATATTTCATAAATGGAATAGGTCGGTAAGACATCAGAATAACAATTTATCCAATTAACAGTTATTCACTAAACAAATGAAGTGGAACTTCCCTATTGTGAGTAGATCAATAATAATGAATAAAATACATCTACAGTTTTATTTTACATTGTATGCAATTTATAAGTTAGAATGAATTTTAAAAATAAGTGGAAAATAGTTTGGTGAAAATGTTACCAATTACATTTGATTCATACAAATACAATGAGTTCATTTCTGCCAACTGTTAAATATCACTGTACTAAAAGAAAACTTATTTATCTTACAATAAAAAGTGAACACTTCATAATTTTTTTTCTAATATGTCAATATTGCTCAAATCCATACATTACAGATATTAAATATGAGATGAAAAATTGTGTTTAAAATAAGCACTTTGGTCAATTTTATAAAAACAGTAAAACCAATTTGTTGATTTTCAATCTTGAACGAGATTTAAGTCTTTATAACTTTTGTAATCTCAGTCAGTAATACTGTGTTAAAAGGATCAGATTTCCCGATTCACAATCAATTCATTCATTTATGCAAAAACAAAAGTTCTGTTACAACAGTATAAAAACAAAATGGTTGGATCTAGTTATATCAGATGGGTTTTGTGGATATTATAGTAATTTCAATGGTTAAGATCATGAGTCAGTTAAAGCTAGACCACCATGGAAAACCTGAAAGCACTGGATGGCCGTTTCGCCCTATCGTGTGACTCCTCAGCAGTGCGCATCCACGACTCCGCACCCTGCGAGATTCGAACCCAGGACCTATTGGTTTCGCGTAACGCTGGATGCCGGCTCAGTGGTCTAGTGGTTAGGTGTTCGCGCGCGAAACCAGTAGGTCCTGGGTTCGAATCCCGCAGGGTGCGAAGTCGTGGATGCGCACTGCTGAGGAGTCACACGATAGAGCGAAACGGCCATCCAGTGCTTCCAGGTTTTCCATGGTGGTCTAGCTTTAACTAACTCATGATCTTAACCATTGAAAGAATCCAGTTATCTTAATATTTTAGACTATTGGAGGTGTTTCGACACTGAAGTATATTTGTAAACAACATTTAAACTCCAAATCGTATTCACCTAAAATTCACATCAGTTATAGATCTTTGTTTGAACTACTAAATAATTAGTTGATAGTGAATTGTACAGTTAATCAGTTAGAAAAAATAGAAAAAAATTTAGAGACGGAGGCAATTAAAAAACAGAGTTTATTAATCTCCAGATAATTATAGATTTAAAAGATATTATCTATTTAATGGATTTGATTCAGTATTTGTTGAGCAAGATAAGAGAAAAAGAAATTCAACTTATTCTTTCAATCTACTCACGTCGAGAATTATGGAGTAGAATTTTGGACTTCCAACTTAGAGCAACAAATGAAACACTATCACATTATTTTCTAGTCCCTTCTTTTCGGCCCAAGTAATTTATATGTTAGACACTCAGTTTGATTGATGATAAATTTACTATACAAATTTCTTAGTTCGTTTAAAAATGTAAAATTCCAAGTATAGTCAGTTTCAACTAATTAGTTATTACTTACTTGCATATCCAATCAACAGTTTGTATATATTTAACTAATAATTCACCAGATGCGGGTAATCTGTTCTTGATTCTCTGATAAATTAATAAATCTGAGGTCATTAAATTGACACGAAGTGCAATGTATTCCCATAGAGATAATATCATATAAGTAATTAATTTACTACGATACTTTCTTTATAACTAAAAACAAAGGTTATGTTATCCAGTTTTCAAAGAACCAATAGTTAGTTCATGAAGAAAAGACGGCCTATTAAGTTTTGGCGGCCTTATATCTTTCATCTGTTCAAATGACCATATGAATCCAAGCACATTAGGTTCTTAATGAGACAAGTTTCGCATTGTATGCCTCAAAACTGTACTTCATAATTAAATAAAGAACAATGAGTTAGTTAGTAGTTATCAACCAGTTGATACAGCATAATATAATTACTCAACAAGTCCCATTTATCCTTCTCTGTGCCTCCATATTCAACCCTTTACATATAGCGGAAGCCATAAAAATCTACGTAAATGAATGTTTGTTAATCCCAGTCATTAGCTTAATTCCTAGTTTATACTTTTCTGTTTTTATCCTTTTACCTACTCATTCAGTCTTTGTCATAAACCAATTAACTACTATATTATCAAATCAATATTAGTTATGGATAACACTGAAGTTAGATATTTATTTTCATTTGATTAACCATAGTTCGATTGTTGTTAATTTTATATTTAAATGTAAATCCAATATGGGTGTGTTATTGGAAGGAAGTATTTCTTTAACCAATTACCTTATACTGTCTGAATGGAAGTTGTTTACTTACAGAATTATTACACAACAAATACGAAATTTACTCACGTTTATTTTCTTTTACTGCTAAAGGTTAGTAGAATTGTGTTGAAATAAGCTAAGCCTATATGGGAAAAATAATGAGCGTGCTAATTATGTGCTTGTAGATATGCGAAAACAAATTCGATAATTGATTAAGTTTTCTTAGAGTTTTCACTACAAGTGTATGTTATAGTATTTAGACGTATCAATAGACTGAGTCTTTTGTTGACAGATACCCACTGTGGAGTTACAGATACTTAAATGTGTAGACATATCTGGTATCATTTTAAAAATCAATGACTAGATCAAGAAGAAAAATATCTTGGATAGTATGTTTGCTATGTTCGTACAATAAAAATATTCAAGTTAACAGTTAACAGTACGAACTAACTTTACCTGGACATTGGGTATTTGGTAGCATGTTCTGTCTTGGTATGAGACTTGTTAGCGCTCAACTTTGAGATCACGTCAATAACATCCAATGGTTTGAAATCTAGACATCAGATTCTAGGTTCGAACTACTTGAATCAGGTACACTCTGAGTTACGGAAGCACAATGCTGATCGTCTCCACAGTAGAACAAGAAGCTGTTCAATGCTTCTTGATGTTTGTTTGGGCAAAGTCAGTCAGTTCCTAATCTAAACTAAAAAAAATTAAGCAATGCCCACAAAACTACTAAACTAATATCTTAATTCTGATGAACCATGAATAATATGAAGTTGCAGATGTTATCAAAAAACTGTTTGTACAGTATTGTTGAACAGAAGTGTTTGAATCAATCCTATTTTGAATTCAGGATTTCTGCAGACATTTTAAATTTCATCTGTCAAACAACCTTTATTTTACAATGAAATAAAGAAGCATGACAGTTAAATGATGTTACACAAACTACTTTAAACAAACCAGATAACTCAATACAGCGAATTACGGAAGTGTCGTGTTAATGAAAATTCAGCATGCTTCTTCAGCTTAGTTATTTTTTTATATTTCACAGAAACAACTTGGACAATTTAAGTTAGAGTTGATTGGAATCCAAACTACATATATAACTTTTTAATTGCATAACCAATAATTCTAAATAGTTGTGTAGTTTCATTTGCCTTTCTCTTGTTGTTATGTGTACAACAATCAATAAGGGTAAATTAAGTATACAGTCTTAGTTGTATATCACAAGGAAATTGACAAGAAGTTTTAATAAAAATTGATTAACTTGTAGCATCTTTAAAACAATCTACTTTACGTTCATACCATTCATTAATAATCTCTTCAATATAGTATTTCATAAACCGATAATATGAAAATTATTCCGGTTTGTACTTTTACAGTTCAGGAAAATTAAATGCTATTTAATAGTGAATGCTAACTAGTTTAATATAAAGCATCATAGCATAAAAGTCATATTCTCAAGCAATAAGTACAAGGTGCATATTTATCAATAATGATTCAAATTAAATTCTGAATATTAACTCAGTCCTTTACTACTACTAATAATAATAATATAAAAGTGCTTTCATTTCCCTTATTATACTAAAGCTTACATCGTCAATAATAAGATATGCACAAGAATTAGGACCATATGATAAGTGTCCAGTTTTCAACAGAAATATCTAAGAACTCAAACAGGAACTTCTTTACACAGCTTTTTTTCTAGTAACTTTGGTTTAGAAATCTACCCAAATTATGCTGGACGCTGGTAAAAGGTTCTTTTTATGATAGGAATATTTAATGACCATGGTTAAACATTTTGAAAAGTACAATTTTATGAGCTGGTGTTTTAGACACAGGTTATTTCCTTTAAATAAAATGTCTAACACAGAATATTTTTACATACTAATACGCTGCAACCAAACAATTAATAACAGATGAATATTCCAATTATGAATTTATTTCCTTAGTTAAGGAAAAACAGAAACGTTTTTATCATTAAATCTAATCTTCCAAACTTCAACTGATACTCTATGAGATGTAAAGTAGAACTTCTGGTTACTTCCACAAACCCATCAAGTCTTCAAAATTCTGAGAACCCAAGATGCTTCACTCTCTTGATCGAATAAACCAAATAATTCGGTAACTTATGCCTTGAAATAAATTTGTCTATCAGAACCAACTGAAACAAAATTACTTGGATAGCTATAAACGTTTAGATTTTGAACCTCAGTTAATTCATATAGTCCAACCTGCTGATAATGTTTTCTTTCATTTCTAGAAACGGGCAAAAAATTTCCTTAGGATGATTTATATAGACGAACTGGATTTTGTAGTTGCAGCCTGTGAAGATGGAGTGGTTTGTAAGTTTTTATTTATTGCCGGTTAAATAAATTATTATTAACATGTTTTAAAATAGTTATTTACTACTTTCGAAAGAGAGCAACTGGCTGCTGGAAAATTATTGTCACTTAAATAACGGAACTGAAACAAAATTAGATCTGACAACTAGACTCAACTGGTTGATGAGCGAGTAACCTACATACTGATCTCCTCTAACTGCCCATAAATTTTCATCGTGGTTCTTTTAACGATATATTTTGTATGATAAGAAGTTAATGTTTTTCTACATAAATCTATTTTTTCGGTTAGAGACCCCATCTTTGATTTTAAATCATCCGTGCTCTTACGTCAATAATACGATTTTGTAAGCAGCAATCACTCATCCACGGTGTACCGTTGAACATAGCCTATCGACAAACGTCCTATTCTCTTATTTTGCTAGTCGGAAACTTGTTCATAAAATCATAAAAGCTCCAATTCATAAAAAAATTGTGGGAAAAATATTTTTGAACGGTGTTGATAACATTCAAAGTGATTTTCCACAACATACTGAAATTTAATACCGTGGAAATCAAATGTGATAGATATATATTATACGGGTTTTTCAATTAATTAGGATGTCGCAGGATATTCAATAGAGGTCATCAAATAAAGTGATTGTGAATGATAATCATAATGGGTAAAAATCTATTTAAAAGGCATTAAGTTCACCGAAACGAATAATTTAATTGAGCAGATTTTATCATCCTTCTGTCAACATCATCACCTGCTACATCAAGTAGAACTGTCAAGGTCATTAGGATGGACTGGATTAATAAATGGAAAATTATTTTGTAAGTGTATTTTACGAACTAGATACTAGCGATCACATCATGAACTACAATAAAATCTCAACTCAAACCTTCAAAACTCCGCCTGTAGCTCTTCTAGAGTTACTGCCAGTCCCAAGCCGGGGTAAAGGAGGAGGGTTGGGCATGGGGTTAGCGTCCCCATCCCGTAGAAAACTAACTCGCTAAAAAAACGCTTACCAGAAAAAATAATTCAAACCATTTAAACTCTGCCCTGGGAGTTAGAAGGTCTTCAGTTAGAAGAATTATGACGCTTCATGGTGAAAGCCGAGTTCCTTCGGAAGCCACGAGGCCGATGCCCCTTCTAACAACCAGAGCAAAAATTTTTATAGGTACATGGAACGTTCGAACAATGTGGGAAACCGGGAAGACCAGTCAAATAGCAATGGAAATGAGGAGATACAACTTAGCAGTACTGGGAATCAGCGAAACCCACTGGACCCAAGCTGGACAGAAAAGGCTAGCTACGGGAGAGATGCTGCTATACTCCGGTCACGAGGAGGACAATGCTCCACACACTCAGGGAGTCGCTCTTATGCTGTCCAAAGTAGCACGAAATGCACTTGTAGGATGGGAGTCTCACGGATCCAGAATCATCAAAGCATCATTCAAAACAAAGAAGGAGGGGATCTTAATGAATATTATCCAATGTTATGCACCCACCAATGATAGCAACGACGACATTAAAGATCAGTTCTACGAGCGGCTACAGTCAATCATTGAGAAATGCCAAGAAAGGACCTAACTATTCTGATGGGAGATCTAAATGCCAAAGTCGGAATAGACAACACCGGATATGAAGATATCATGGGACGACATGGACTGGGACAGAGAAACGAAAATGGAGAAAGATTTGCAAATCTATGTGCATTCAACAAATTGGTCATAGGAGGCACAATATTTCCACACAAGCGTATACACAAGGCTACATGGATCTCACCGGACCACACTACAGAGAACCAAATAGATCATATTTGCATCAACAAAAAATTCCGAAGGACAATGGAAGATGTGAGAACCAGGAGAGGTGCTGACGTAGCTTCAGATCACCACCTAGTTGTAGCCAATTTAAAACTGAAGCTAAAAAAGAACTGGACAAGTGGACAAACAGCACTACAAAGGTTCAATACAGCCTTCCTTCGAGATACTGACAAACTCAATGAATTCAAGATAGCTCTCAACAACAGGTTCCAAGCCTTACAAGATCTACTGAAAGAAGAAGAAACTAGTATGGAGGACAACTGGAAAGGCATCAAGGAAGCATTAACTTCAACGTGTCAAGAGGTTCTGGGCCTAAAGAAACACCATCATAAGGAATGGATCTCTATAGAAACACTGGACAAGATCAAAGAAAGGAAGAACAAGAAGGCAGCAATTAACAACAGCCGAACACGAGCAGAGAAAGTCCAAGCACAAGCTGAATACATAGAAGCAAACAAACAAGTGAAGAGGAGCATTAGAGCCGACAAGAAGAAATACGTGGAAGAACTAGCAACGACGGCAGAAAAAGCTGCTAGAGAAGGAAATATGAAACAGCTTTACGATACAACGAAGAAACTAGCAGGGAAATACAGTAAACCAGAGAGGCCGGTCAAAGACAAAGAAGGCAAGCCAATCACCGAAATTCAACAACAGCGTAACAGATGGGTAGAATACTTCGAGGAACTCCTGAATAGGCCGGCTCCAATGAATCCACCGGACATCGAAGCAGCACACATAGATCTTCCTATAGATGTCAACCCACCAACGACGGAAGAAATTAGAATGGCCGTCAGACAAATCAAGAACGGGAAAGCAGCAGGACCCGACAACATACCAGCTGAAGCACTGAAATCAGACATCGAAGCAACCACAAGCATGCTTACCTTCTATTCAAAAAGATTTGGGAGGAGGAACAAGTGCCGATGGACTGGAAAGAAGGACACCTCGTCAAGATTCCAAAGAAAGGAGATCTGAGCAAATGTGAAAACTACAGAGGCATTACACTACTGTCAATACCAGGGAAAGTCTTCAACAGAGTGTTGCTGAACCGGATGAAGGATGCAGTAGACGCCCAACTTCGAGATCAACAAGCTGGATTCCGTAAGGATCGGTCGTGCACAGACCAAATTGCAACACTACGGATCATCGTCGAACAATCAGTTGAGTGGAACTCATCACTATACATCAACTTCATTGATTATGAAAAGGCATTCGACAGTGTAGATAGGAGGACATTATGGAAACTTCTTCGACACTACGGAGTTCCTGAGAAGATTGTCAACATTATCCGGAACTCATACGACGGACTACAGTGCAAAGTAGTGCATGGAGGACAGCTGACAGATGCATTCCAAGTAAGGACTGGAGTCAGACAAGGCTGTTTACTCTCTCCCTTCCTCTTTCTTCTGGTGGTCGACTGGATTATGAAGACCTCGACATCTGAAGGAAAACACGGAATACAATGGACAGCTCAGAATCAATTAGACGATTTGGACTTCGCAGATGACCTAGCCCTCCTATCACGTACACACGAACAGATGCAGATGAAGACAGCCAGTGTAGCAGCAGTCTCTGCATCAGTAGGCCTCAGCATACACAAAGGGAAAACCAAGGTCCTCAAATTCAAAGCGGAGAACAGCAATCCAATCACTCTTGATGGCGAAACTCTGGAAGATGTAGAGTCCTTCACATACCTGGGAAGCATCATCGATGAACAAGGAGGTTCAGATGCAGACGTAAAGGCGAGGATCGGCAAAGCAAGGGTCGCATTCCTACAATTGAAGAACATATGGAACTCAAAACAACTTTCAACCAATATCAAAGTGAGAATCTTCAATACGAACGTCAAGGCAGTTCTACTGTATGGAGCTGAAACTTGGAGAACTACAACAACCACCATCAAGAAGGTACAAGTATTTATAAATAGCTGCCTACGCAAGATACTCAACATCCACTGGCCGGATACCATCAGCAATAGCCTTCTGTGGGAGAGAACAAACCAACTTCCAGCTGAAGAAGAAATTAGGAAAAGACGATGGAAATGGATAGGACATACATTACGCAAACTGTCAAACTGCATCACGAGGCAAGCCCTAACTTGGAATCCTGAAGGGAAGCGGAAAATAGGAAGGCCAAAGAACACATTGCGTCGGATAATAGAAGCAGATATGAAAAGGATGAATAACAACTGGAAGGAGCTGGAAAGGATTGCCCAGGACAGGGTTGGACAGAGAATACTGGTGAGCGGCCTATGCTCCTTCACGAGGAGTAACAGGCGTAAGTAAGTAAGTCAACCCTTCAACCTAAAGAGTAAATCGTGACCAAACCCATTCACCTATGCTACAAATAGTTTTCATCTTTTAACACATATATCTGCTAGGAAAGCGGTTGTTATGGTAAAAATAATGTAGTACTATAGTTGTCAGGCGCAGATTTCCATTTCATTCATTCATAAACTAGATATTAGCGTTACCTGGTTTCAATTTTAAGAGGTATATGGTTTAGTTTAAGGTTGCTGCTAAATAATCAAGTAACGAACGGCCAGGATGTTTCTTCTTTGATTTCCCATTTCATAACATTAAAAATTCAAGAAGCACATATTCATTATTTGATTATTATGTATGCCATTGCATATTTTAATCTCTAGTATTGAAATAAATATCAGTCAATTCGTTCTTCACATAATATGTGGATATTTCAGTGATCTGACAAACTGATTTAGATTTGCTTATTTCTGTTTTTGTTATTAAAAACTAAAATCTGGTTAATATTTGGTGTAGAACTTCGTGTTTTTAACACCAACAACTATGTTTTAAAAATTCCAGCTATTTACGAAATTTTCGGAAACCTGAAATAGCAAATTTTGGCTTACTGATCTAACGTTAGAAAAGTTTAGATATAAGACCAAACACCATCTACGGTTAACTAATTCAGTTCAATTCGAAAAAGCCTAAAAAAGAATTATATATGAAATGTAACAGTTAACATAAGAAGTACTTTGAAACCATTCACTCTGGACAATATCTTGGAGGTATAAAAGTCGAAGATATATTAAACAGTATACTCATATAAATTCAAGCTGTACATGTGAACTGTTCAAAGTACCATAGTCACTGTGTCACACATTGACAAAATATCATACTATAGATCTTTCGAATAATCTGACATATTATGAGTCTACATGGTCAGTTCTCACTGATGAATCTATTCAAAACCCAGCCGAAATATTATCACAGTTTTTGATAACAGATCAGGTATGCCGATCCAACAGATGAAATTAAAAGGTTAAAGAGTGACTTACTGAATACTTATCTGTTCATTTAAATCTTAGATGTCCTTGGTTACGATTTGCAAGCAACTAAAAAATTCTTAACTGATGCATTATGTAACGATGAAAATGAATCAAGAAGTAATTTTAAAACACCCAATGAGATGAAGTCACAAAGTAATGTTACAAAAGATTTCAGGGAAATAATTTTAAATTCACCAAAACTGTTGAAGGTATTCAATAAATTAAGAGGAACTGATCAAGAAGTGGAAAATACAGACGCGCATAATTGTACAAGTGAAGATTTGAACCCTGAAATGAATATGCAGTCAAATCCTTTGATAACAATGGCTGAAGATAAACAGGTAATATTATAATAAGAAACGTTATACTTGGTAAATTCAGAATTCATTTTTGGCTATTTTGATATATAACAGTGAAATTCACTAAGTATGAGGTAGATTCTGTTTTATTTGAAACTGTCCCATTTGAAGTGTTGTCTAGAAAGTAATAATATATTGAAATAAATGCAAAATGACTCTAATCTTCAGCATTAATAAATTTTTGTGATTCACATAAGAAAGAATATTTAACACTACATTTTTGTTTGCCTAGATAGTTTTGTGATTTATGTGTTAAATGAACAAATCTACTAACTCTATAAAATATTCGAATTACAACCCATCAAAATGTTCTGTCAAAACATTATAACCAACTGTCATAAAATTTCCAATCACTCCTCGTTTTCGCATTGCGATTGCGTTCGGAATTTACTTACATTAACAACTATCTCATGGAATATGATGCTCATGAAATACTTCAATTTATCCTGCCTTTATCATACGGATAATTTGTAAAAAAAACATTAGTCATTCATCTTATTTATTTAACAGTTTCTATGATTAACTTATTAAGATATATATTATCTGATTATTTATTTCCAGACTTTAGAATCTGTTAGTCGACATTTATTCGGAATGAAATGTCGTTATGTATTGGTTGAACATAAAGATTCAGTAACGTGCCTTTTATATATAGATTACAAAATGCATCCTATTCACCAATGGATTCTGGTAATTTGCTTTTGTGTTTCAATTAAAATTTTACAGACGGTTCAGTTTCAAAATATGGAATGTACGATGTTATTTATGTCATACTCTTATAATCTGAAACGAATCCCAGTTGTTAATCAATAAACTGTGGGTATATTAAGAGTAAATATACATTATTTTATTAATTGAATAACTGCACAAAAGTTCAGTTAATGAGAGTCAAGCAATAAATTTTAGTTGAATACATGATATTATGCTCCCTCCACAAGTGAAATACTTGCAAATTTTCAGATACGTAAGACCATTCTGGAGAGTCGACTGCTTAAATCACTCAAAGAGAATTCATAAAAAGCTTACCATCCTAATACATTCAAAACACTATGCTAAGCTTTGGAAACATTTATGTAACATACTAAATTAATCCATATAACATAATGCATATTTTATCAACTAATAGACACATATAATTAAATAAATTATTTCCCTATACTTTTTAGCAGATACAGAGGGGTAGTAATTTAGTGCACAAGTAACCTATTTATTTTAACACCTTTGAAAAATAGTTACTTGAAGATTAGTTAACGAAAATGGTTACTGTCCAAATTAATTGCCATCAAGGTATAAGTATACATTCAGAATGCTAAGTTTCTTCTCATCAGATATTTAAGTGCAATATTTTACTTTGATTTCTGATATTTTTTCAGTAGCTTATCTTGATTTCTTTCAAGGAATATTTAGCGAAAATTTCTGTTTCTAGAGAACACTTCCAATTATTTTTTACCAGTAAACTGAGCTGTAGGCATTGAGTGAATATCAATGACATGGTTCAAACATGCCCAGTTGATGTTCTCAATAAGAGAAAACTCGGATTGAAACGTATTATTATTAAAACACACCATTTGAAACAAAACACTGTTCGGAATTTTATGTGAGGCTTTTTATGCACGATTTAATGTTGCATAAGTCAAATGCAAGACATTTTCGTTATGTAGTATCGAGAACGAAATGCAACTAATTTCCGTCTGCTAATTCTGGTTTTTTAATAGTTTCACTTTTGACCCTGATTTCTACAGAATACTGCGTTCAGTTTCAATAGCAATCTCTAAATTGTTGTTTTTAAAAAAAGCTCACTTTCTATCAACAAATTTCATTACTATTTACTTATCAAAAATTAATTAATTCACAATGCGTAATCAAACCAATAACTCACGAATAGTGAGCCACTACCCATTCTGTTTTTTTTTACCTTAATACTTGTCTTGATTTAACTGCATCTAACCAAAATTATCATATTATGAAAACTACTAAGCAAATAATTGAATGTATGACTGTTTTTCCCATTATTTAATGAGTTTTACTATTTGATTAAACTGATTAGTTTAACAGCTTTAAAAAATTGTATTGATTCAGCTTACTTCTGGATGGGATCGTTGCATATGTATATGGAATTTAAAATCTGGCAAATTAATTGATAAATTCCTCGAAACACAATGCTTGAACCAAAACCCTAGCCAGAAAGCCTCCAAAGGCGCAATATTAGACATGGCATATAATTCTGAATTGTGAGTTGATTTACTGTTATGATTTTAGATTTCATAAATCTAACATCACAGTGAATTTAAATAAATTACACTGATGCTACAAGTTTACTATCAATATAACCAGTATCTTAAACTGGATTTCGACTCAATAGGTACAATATCCAAAATTGACACTCACGAATGAAGTTCCTAAGCTTGAACTTATTTAGGATGATGAGCCAGGATGGCTCATGGAATACAAATTGGAATGGAACCATTGTCCATTGCTTTACGTTTCCAAGTAATTTTTCAGCTGACACCTGCCCGTAATGAAAATAAACCTGAAATGTATGAAGTCCTTACGAAACCATGTAGCTCTGCTATTTTGCAAAAGATTTTAAGTAATAGTTTATAACTCCAGAAAAACAAAGGGAAATGACAGTTAGCGACAGTAACATGAATCATCTCACTTTTTGATTCATATATATGGCACTTAGTTCACCGACTGTAAACGAAACTGGCTTCAGCACCACATAACTTTGACGTTAGTTTTGGACTTTAACGAAACTTACTTTAATTTGTGGTGATATGCAAAATAAAAAATGATGTGAACATTTTAATAAAATAATATTTCTTTTATCGACTTTTCGTACGACCATTTATTTAAATGTAACACATTAAGGATAAATGTTGCCACTCAGTCAGTAATAAAATGGTTATGTTTTTTTTCAATATTACATCAGATATTAAATATTATTCAGAACAATGCTCAGTAAATTACAATAGTATATTGGCTGAATCCCCAATTATTTTTATTACAGTGCAAACAAAATACCATGAATCGAGCTCTTATTGTCCAATTTTATTCCGCTTTCTTCAAATAATGTATCTAATTCAGGAACAATCTCCTTCCAGAAACGTCTTTCAAAATTACTATTATTATCTCGTTTCAGTTTATAGAAATCACATAGAACTGTTTTGTCATCTTTTATTCACAGAACAAACTACATCAAACTGTTAGATTTCACAAAACCGTTTCCTCCTGTGGTGTAAACTAACTTTGAAATAGTTAGTTCACCATTCAGTAATCAACTGAAATCATTAGTAAGATGTTACCAGACAGATCAACCTTAAATTAACATTTTGGTAGTAAAGCTTTATTACAAAGCTGCTTAAGTCGAACAGTGTAGAGGACTGTATTTAGATTTAGTGATTGATAACGAAATTATGAAATTTTCTAATTAGTAAACCTTGTTCTATTCTGGACGGGTACTATTTAGAAATTATAGACTAAGACAAGATATAAATCTTCAATCTATTTTTAACTTTTTAGTATATTCTGTTTGCGAAAAACAGTTAAACTAAACATAATCTAACTTGATATGGTTTTGAAAAGACTTATTAAGTTCAAGAATCTTGTCAAAAGACGTAAGTGATTTCTTTCTTTGTATCATAGTAAAAATTAAATTCCAGTTATGGTTATCAAAGATTTCGTAGTTGATTTGTTCCTTTAGACTGAGCGTTAGTTGGTAAATGTTTTAATCTCAAGCTGCACTACTATTCATGCTAAACAGATATCGACACATTACATAAAACTGAGTTAGATAATAATATAATTTAAAAATCCATTTTGTAAGTAACTGATGCACAACTTGTTTACCAATTTCCTTTTTGATCAAAATAAATATCAATCTAGAGATATTTTTGCATATGCATGCTCTGATTGCCTCATCTATGTTCGCAAATTTTCTTTAAATGGGAATGAAATGCACTTGCAAACAAAATTAATTGGACATAATGGGCCAGTAAATTGTATTGTATTTAATCCATCAAATGTAGAAAATGGTAATCAAGGTGAATGGATAACTGGTTCCGATGACTGTACTATTCGTATATGGGTGAGCAGCATATATGTGACAAAATATTCATGTTATCTTTTAACTAATATGCTGGATGACTGAAGGTAGCTAGTAGGAAACCCAGTACCAAGGTTTCGTGCTAATCGACACTATAATCTCCACCCCGGGAGAAATTTGTGCTAATTTACAAGACTAGGAAGCTGTGTGAGTCGGATTCGAACTCCACAGTAAGCCTCAGCTCCTCTGGGGTTGCAGGTATGTCTTATCGTCAACTAGCAGAAAGCCTAAATCCACGTATTTCTCCTGACCACCATACATTAAAGAATAATGCAGCCCATGTCAATTTACTCAGACTACTGGTAGCAATGCAGCTTGGCCGATAGAATGCAATCAATAAAAAGGACCAGAAAAATAAGATACTGGTCATTCATTAACCAATATATTATCAAGTGTTTATAAATTTATCTACAAGAATGCTGCACAAGAAATTATTCTTTTGACGTAACTAACATGTAAAAACTTGTACACTTTCTTAAATTTCAAATAGTATGTTTGTTAACTGTTAGAGTCGAATTTCAATGTGTAATACTTTAACGACAAAAACAGATAATTGAATTTTAGTCACAGATTTCAGCTAATCTGAATACAAAACCAAGTATGTTTCACAACCAATATATATCTATTAGGCCATATTATAGATATGAAATGGCTGAGAAAAGTACTTTTTTTAAAAAGTAGTGTAACAAACAGACGGAAAAAGGTGATTATATTTTTCTTCACTAAGATAATAATGAAGTTTACTGAAAAATAGAGCAGTTCAATGAAAGAAACAATTTAGTGTCAAGTAATTTTCTACCAGTTATGTAGATCTTAGTTAAGGCAACAGTAACGAATCAGGTTTTGTGTAGATAATTCTAGTTTTCATGGCTTTAAATACATCTGATTTTAACGCAAACAGTAGAGAAACTTATTGGTATAATGTTGCTATACTATGTTAATACCTCTGCACTGATGAATTATATTTAAATAAGAAGGATTATATTAAACTATACATAAAAGTAATTACATTCTGGTTTACAGCAATTAAATCAATATTAGTTAACTAACTTATGGTAAACTAAAATGTTTGAAAGAAATTATAGGTATTTCAATTGTGATTTATATAATGAGGTTCAATTAAATTGTACTTGCAAAAGAATTATGTTCGATTACACTAAACTGTTAATTTCTTTTTCTCTAAAAGTACGAAAATCATCTTGTTAATTTTGCATAGATTGAACTTTGTACAATGATGATATCGATAAATTAAGAACCATTTAAACGTAATTTCTTATTCACAGTAATATAAGTATAAACAACTATGTAATCCCTAGACAAGAAATTTTTAAATTATGTTACGTCAAAGACAAATACATTTTAACCTGAATGTTTGTTATTTACAGATATTTACCAGTTTAGGATGTAAGATAATTCTGCAACGACTCTTCAATTATCACAGTTATACTATTTTATTCCGAAATATTCTCGATACTTACTGTTGATGCTCAGAGTAATACTGTACAAATAGCGGGACCTACGGTTGGGACTTCGGTTTACTGGTGCCCAAGTTAAAATGTTCAACTACAAACAGTTGAGACTTCTTTTAATAAGAACGGAAACTAATATATGGCTGCCGATACACAACGTCAATAATATATGAAAGATGGTACTTTCAGGATAGATTTTTATTCAGAAAAGAAGTCACATAGTGACACTACGTGACCTAGTGGGACAGAAAATTAGCGATGATAAAAACCAATTAGAAAATGTCAAAAGTTGTGTAGAAATATGAATCAGGAAAAATGTTGTGGCACTTATTGTTACATTAAACAAATTTACAATTATTAACAAAACTCCGGTACATTATGATCCTCCTAGCATGAAACATTTTGATGATAAGAAAAAAAGAGTTGGTAAACAATTATTTTATAGGAAGCATTCTTCTTCGTTGATAATTTATTCAGTGACTAAGTGTATCAGTTTCCTTCTTAACTTCAGCCAGTTGGATTTATAGTTTATCATACAAGTAAACTCGTATTATTATCACTTCAAGAATTTCGAGTCAGTGTTCGAATAAACTAGAAACAATTAATGGCTAATTCTCAAAGTTTGTGATTTTACTGAATTTGTACATTAAAGTTAAATTATATTTTGATAAAGGAAAATGGTCATATTTTTTTCATTTAGAAAACGGTGAATGAAGGAGAAATATGCGATTAACTCTGAATGCAAATGGTCCAATAACGTGTCTTCGTTTAGATTTTAAACGCAATATTTTACTTGCAGGAGTTGATAAAGAAATTAAGTAAGCATATTATTGACTTTTGAAAATATTGCTTTGACACAGACAATAAGTGAACGAACAGTAAATGAAATTTTCTCTCATTTGCACTTTCAAATGTTAAACTTTCACATAAACAATAACTTAGATCCATAAAAGTGAAAGTTACTTTGAGTGAAATACGTCCAATAATAAAAAGTACATTTTGAAGCAATCCGAACAGAATCCACGTATGCTGAAAAAAAGATCGGTCAATCAATTAGAAGATCCAAGCAGCCAATATATGAATGTAGATATTGCATCGCAAATTCTAAACAATATCTTTACAATTTTTAAATGCTAGATCGGAATTCAGTTACCCAGAATATTAATCAAGGGTGTTTTCCACAACTTAAACGTTTTTAAAGCCAAAAAATGATTTTGCTAGAAAATCAGTAGCTTCTACGCCAAGTCAGTAAATACATATTTTAAAGTCTGATACTACCTTAAAAGCCTCTGGAGTCTAAGGACCAATGATCAAATGTTCAGATCATAATTCTTCAGACTTAAAAAAAGAACATTCTTACGTTGTTTCGCATTTGCATGAATTTTACATTAAATAAAAGCTATTTTAATTCCATGACGTTTCATTGTTTATTGTATATCCATTGCAAAGTAAAAAAATCTTTTTTAGTTCTTTACTGCGATACTGAACTGAACAGGCACCCACACCATCATGAATCTTACACTAGGCGATATTTCTAAAAATCAGTAATTTTTCGCTTGCCGATGGTAATCTACGATAGTTAAGGTCGAACTAGACACCTGATTGTTAAATATTAACAGCAATTGATAACCCTTACTTCGCCTGAGGCCCCTATGGGTCTACTGCCGGTCCCAAGCCCGAATAAAGGAGGAGGGTTGGGCATGAGGTTAGCGACCCCATCCCGTAGAAAACTAACTCACTAAAAAACGCTTACCAGAAAAAATAATTCAAACCACTTGAACTCTGCCCTGGGAGTTAGAAGGTCTTCGTTTAGAAGAGTTATAACGCCTCATGGTGAAAGCCGAGTTCCTACGCAAGCCACGAGGCTGATGCTTCTTCTGACAACCAGAGCAACCATTTATTTAGGTGCATGGAATGCTCGTGCATTGTGGGAGACCGGGAGAGTCTTCCAAATTGCTGCAGAAATGAGGAGATACAACCTAGAGGTGCTTGGGATCAGTGAAACACATTGGACGCATGTTGGACAATAACTACTAGCTTCAGGGGAGCTTCTGTTATACTCTGGCCATGAAGAAGAAAATGCCCCACATACATAAGGAATTTCATTGATGCTCTCCAAACAAGCACAGGATGGGAATCTCATGGACTAAGGATCATCGAAGCCTCATTCAAAACAAAGAAAGAGGGCATTTCAATGAAAGTCATCCAATGCTATGCGCCTACCAACGACTACAATGAAGACGTTAAAGATAAATTCTATGACAGGATGCAGTCAATCGTCGAGAAGTACCCAACAGAGGACTTGACCATTCTGATAGGAGACCTAAATGCCAAGGTTGGAATGGACGACACTGGATATGAAGACATCATGGGACGACATGTACTAGGAGAAAGGAACGAAAATGGTTAGGAATTCGCACACCTATGTGCCTTCAATAAACTGGTCACAGGTAGGTCAAAGGAAGTCCTCAGCAATAAGTTCGAGGCCTTTCATGATCTACTCAATGAAGAAGGAACTACGATGGAGAGCAACTTGACAGGGATAAGAGGCAATCACTTCAACATGTCACGAGGTTCTGGGCCACAAGAAGCACCACCATAAGGAATGGATCATCGTTGATGCACTGGATAAGATTCAAGAAGGCAGCAATCAATACCAGCTGAGCAAAAGCAGAGAAAGCCAAGGCACAAGCTGAATACACAGAATTAAACAAGCAAGTGAAGAGGAGCATCAGAATCTACAAACGTAAATATGTGGAAGATCTAGCAATGACGGTTGAAAAGGCTGAAAGAGAAGGACACATCAGACAATTGTATGATACAACAAAGAAACTCGCTGGAAATTATCATAAACCAGAACGACCAAGGAAAAGCAAGGAGGGAAAAGTAATCACCAACATCCAAGAACAGCGAAACAGATGGGTAGAACACTTCAAAGAACTCTTGAATCGACCAGCTCCACTGAACCCACCTAACATCAAAGTAGCACCCACGGACCTCCCAATCCATGTTGGCCCACCAACAATTGAAGAGATCAGCATAGCCATCAGACAAATCAAGAGCGACAAAGCAGTGGGACCAGACAACATTCCAGCAGAGGCACTGAAAGTAGATGTAGCAGTAACTGCAAGGATGCTCCACACTCTCTTCAGCAAGATTTGGGATGAAGAACAAGTATCAACAAACTGGAAAGAAGGACACTTGATCAAGATACCAAAGAAAGGCGATCTCAGCAACAGTGATAACTACAGAGGCATTACTCTTCTCTCAATACCAGGAAAAGTCTTCAACAAGGTGTTGTTAAACAGAATGAAGGACTGCGTAGACGCCCAACTTCGAAACCAACAGGCTGGATTCCGTAAGGATCGGTCGTGTACAGACCAGATTGCAACACTACGGATCATTGTAGAAAAATCAATTGGATAGAATTCATCACTCTATATCAACTTCATTGACTACAAGAAAGCATTTGACAGTGTGGACAGGACAACACTATAGAGGCTTCTTCGACACTATGGCGTACCTGAGAAGAAAGTCAATATCATACGGAATTACTATGATGGATCAAACTGCAAAATCGTGCATGGAGGACAGCTGACAAACTCGTTCGAGGTAAAGACCGGTGTCAGGCAAGGTTGCTTACTCTCACCCCTTCTGTTTCTCCTGGTGATCAACTGGATCATGAAGAAGTCAACATCTGGGGAGAAGTACGGGATACAATGGACAGCTAGGATGCAGCTGGACGATCTAGACTTCGCAGATGATCTGGTTCTTCTATCACACACGCAACAACAAATGCAGGAGAAGACCACCAGTGTAGCAGCAGTCTCAGCAGCAATAGGTCTCAACATACACAAAGGGAAAGCAAGATTCTCCGATACAACACAACACGCACCAATCGAATCACACCTACCGGAGAAGATTTGGAGGATGTAAAAACGTTTACATATCTGGGCAGCAACATTGATGAACACGGTGTGTCTGATGCAGATGTGGGGGCGCGGATCGGCAAAGCGAGATCAGTAGATTTACGACGGAAGAACATCTGGAACTCGAAACAACTGTCAACCAACAAAAAAATCAGAATTTTCAATACAAACGTCGAGGTAGTTCTACTGTATGACGCGGGAACTTGGAGAACTACGAAAGCCATCATCCAGAAGATACAAGTGTTTATTAACAGCTGTTTACGCACAAATACTTGGGATCCGTTGGCCAGTAAAAATCAGCAACAACCTTCTGTGGGAGAGAACAAACCCGATCTCAGCGGAGGAAGAAACGCTGGAAGTGGATAGGACACACATTGAGGAAAACACCGAACTGCGTCACAAGGCAAGCCCTCACATAGAATCCTTAAGGCCAAAGGAAAAGAGGAAGACCAAAGAACACATTGCGTAGAGAAATGGAGACAGACATGAGAAAAATGAAAAACAATTGGATAGAACTAAAAAGGACCAGGACAGAGTGGGTTGGAGAATGCTGGTCGGTGGTCTATGCTCCATTAGGAGTAACAGGCGTAAGTAAGTAAGTAAATTGATAAACCTGAAAGATTGTTAAAAAACGAGATAAGTAGCATGTTCTCATTTTGAGTAAATTCTAGTGTTCCGAACTTCTATACAGTGTTTAAATACTTTTTTTATAATTCCTGATCTATAATTTACTGGTATAATATTATAAATATTCAAAATTAAGAACGAAGAAAAGGAATTATACAACACTCCTTATCACCTTAAACAAATCAATAAATTTTTAAGCACATTATCATGTTTTTTTTGTATTGCAGAATTTATGATCTGCTAACTGGACATGTTTATCGAAATTACAAAGGTCATCGTGATATAATCAGGTCTATAATTATATTACCGGAAGAAGATGAGGTAAGTTTATGTTTCCAAGTGCAAGTTACACTGTTGGAATATCAAGTGGATTTGTATTATAACGAACACAACACTGATGATAATTTGCTCCTAACAAATCTGATTTCTAATTTCAAAAACCTTAACTGCAGTTGGAGGTAAATAAACCACGTCTAGAACAGATACCTGTCATCATATCATAGCGACTGTACGTAAGATTTGTTATAGTAATGTGGTTCCCCCATAATTAAACAATTTTGAGAATGAAAGCAGATAATTACAAAGGTGTCGTGCTCGATTCAAATGACAGTGCACCGTTTGGACTTTACGCGATAATAGCTAAGTTGGTATGCTGACCTCCATTGTATGCTTCCGAATTTGCCGAATAAAGATAGACTAGCTAACTAGTCGATCAATTACCATGGCTACATTTCAAATAATTGATTTAAAATACAGCTTTCCAAAACCTAGAGAAATCGTATTCAGCTAACTTGTTAATACCTAATGTCCGAAAACTGTTGTTTAATTCAGAAGGTTGAATAAGATGCCGTTAGCGAAGCGTGAACTACGCTTCGTGAGTTTCCCATGGTGGATAAAATCTGTTGTTTTTCAACAATTCTTACACCACTACAGTACGTATCCGCAAGCGCTGATGGTCAAATCCGTATATGGAGTGCTTGGAAGGGTAACCGTAATCAACCAACAATTGTTTCGACAGATCAAGAATCAGCACTTGCTGCGGCCCAATTGGCAGCTGTTAAATTATCCCTAAATCCAGCAGCATCACTCGGGGCAGCCGCAAGAGCATTCAGTAAAGCAGGACGATTCAGATGCATTGTTGAATGCCTAATGAGACATCAACGTGTGGAATAAATAATACGAGCATTTCGTACAGTAATCAGAACATCCAAGACACTGTTCAATATTTTGTATTGATTTACTCTTTAAAACAGTAATTTTTTTTATACAGAGAATATGATTTTGTAAACAGATTTTATGTGACTTCTCAGCTAAAATAATGAATTTGTATACTCGGGCGAAGTGTAAAATATGCATTAAAGTAAAATACATTTAGTCAGGTTTATTTGACTAGTGCATGTACTATTGCCAATATTGTAGATTCTTGCACTCATTATGGTGACCAGTCACTCGGTAAAACTGTTTATACTTATCCGTGAACTACACGAGCAAAATTGATCCCAAAAAGTCATGCCTTGCCGATAATAAAATAAACGGAAGCACATTCTGAAGGAAAGTGAACTTAAAGGAGAACAGAAATAGAACACAAGGATAAATCTACATATATGGGCGGGAACTTCTGCGCCATAGGGATACGATGGTAATCAAAATTATTCGAACTGACTTGCTAAGAATTTTCGGAATAGTTTAATTTAAGGCAGACAGTACTGGTTGAGTACAAATAAATGTATTATATTTGGAATAAGTAATTGGCACCCAATCCAGTGTATACCAATCATAACTTAGCGTATGAATAGGAGACCCTTGAATTTGTGCGCTAAACTTCGCGCTTCGACTCTATAGATAACACATACCAGGCACTACATTACAACCGTCTTTCATCATTAAGGAAAGCTTTTCCAAATCATACAGACCCAAGATTGGTGCGACATAATCATCAATGAGTTATTCACTGATTATAACCGAATATTTATCATCTACACCCAGCAAATTGCAATAATAAATAAAAGGAATTTTCTGACCAGTAATACTCGAAACGGAAATTTTAGTAGGTTTAATTATAGCGCTACGATTTATTAGCTTCAAACTTAAAACTGAAATGAAGGATATGCTACTACAAGTTTCAACAACTGAACAAAAATAATCGTACTGAATATCAAGTGAACTATTCGAATTTGTAATTTAGAATAGTATGTAATTATGAGAATAACTTAAAGTAAAAAGATCCGAAATATAAAGACTACTTTCACTAATATCGAAATGAACAGTGGTTCTACCAATCGAATGAATGTATCCTATATCCTCCGTGAGAACTCGGAAGAATAGGGACACACGTCGTTGCCTTTTTGTCGTTTCTGTCTTATGCTCCCACTGACTGCAGCTCGGATGAAGTGAAGGATGAGTTTTACAGAAAGCTCTCTGAAGTTCTTCAGAAAACTGAACGTTCAGACACAGTACTCGTAGCAGGTGACTTTAATGACCAGATAGGTAGTTTAAACCAAGCAGAAAGGCATATAGGTGGGTATTTTAGTATTCTGGCTCAGCGAACAGATAATGGTGATCGTCTGCTGCGACTGTACTCAGACAATCGTTTATTTTTAGCAAACGCAAATTTTGAGCATAAGGAGAGACATCGTCTAACATAGCGACCGCCTACACCAAACCACCGATGGACTCAAATAGACCATATTGCCATCAGTCATCGTTGAAGAGGGTCGGTAGAAGATTGTCGTTCATTCTGGCGTACCTGCTTGGACTCCGACCATACCCTAATACGGGTGCGTATCTGCTTGCACCTCACTGGACGCAAAAAAGACACACTAGAATTGAATAATGTGAAAGTCGAATGTAGATTCCAGGAACAACTGAGGTCACAATTAGATAGTTCTGAAAACGAGGCTGACCCAGACGTTGCTTGGAATGATATACAAGCAGCTGTGGAAACAGCAGTGATTTGAATTGAGGGGTTACGAAAAACCAATGGATTCCTACTAAATCTGTAGCACTGATGGGTTATCGTTAACTAATCCCATCAGGCTCTGAACACTATGAAGAGCGCAAACAAATCAGATCTAGGTTAACCAAAAGTCTAAGAAACGACCGTGAGCAGTGGTGCGCAACGAAAGCAAAAGAGATGGAAAAGGCGGCCGCTGTAGGTAATACAAGACAGCTCTTCAGACTTATAAAAGAAACTGGAATTAATAAGCCACGTCTAAGTGAGACTATCTCGGAAAAAGACAACACTGGTATATGCTCTTAATCCAGACGTTTAGAACGATGGGTGGAACACTATAGAGAACAGTTCAGCTGGCCTTCAGCTACTCTAAAACTACCCACCATTCCCAGACAGCGTGAATGGAACATTGAAGTAAGTCTCCCGACTCTAACTGAAGTTCGAAATGCTATAGCTAATCTAGAAGGAGGATGAGCAGCTGGTCCAGATGGATTGGTTCGAGGTTTTTAAGTATGGTGGTCCAATTTTAGCGACTAGGTTGATTAAGATTTTAGCTAAGATCTGGGAGTTGGATGTTATCCTATCTGAATGGTCACAATCACTGATTGTCCCAATATATAAGAGGTCAAAATCATCCTGTGATAACCATGTGGCTTTTCTGCTTCAACGAGAACTGTATTTTAAGCAGTAGGTGTATGATGAAATTAAACGGAAATCGAAATAATCGACAGCCTAGACGGACACCACTTAGGGTTGTAAAATCAGATGACAGTTCGCCGTAAGCTCTGAGTAGATTAGTCGTGTTTGAGCGAAGAGCATTCACGAGGTACATCTTTCTGTGAAATCCATTTTGAAGGTTTTGCGTGTAAAATCCCCTCCTTGTATACATATGTAATTCATTCCCATTGATTCCGTCAGTTGTACATTCTGTTAGTGTTCCTTTTTGATTTTGATTTTCTTTACGCTATTACTAACTTTCCATGTTTCTTCCTGAACTGCATACATGTCGTTTTAGTTGATAATTAGTCTTGGCAGTAGCCATGTCGATTTATTCCCCCGTTTGTCTGTGTAGCTTGCATTGACTGCAATCGTGCATTTCGATTGTGAATTGAATCACAGTGAGGCTGTAATTTATGAACGACGCTAAAGTGACCTTACGAACGTCCATCTACTATGTGGGACCAAATGACGTTATAAAACAATGTGAGGAATTAGAATTATGATTCACAGTTGATTGTTCAGGTTAGAAATTAGATTTAGGGTTTTCATCACGAACTGACATCAGCTATAATGTATGAATGAATTTTACGCCGAAATCCAAGACTCGTTATCTTATATTTGATTAGTTCGCCCATAAATTATAGTCTCGCCAAGCACTCTTCTAGAATTGGAAACACTCTGATTTATACCTCAACTAAATATTATCTTTCGAGAAAGTTGTGACTAATCCCAGCTATTCAGATTATGCTTAAGATTTAAGCTTCTTTGGAACCTAATTCGCAGTTGCTAGAAATATACCATACAAGGTGTGATTTGTACATAGTTATTATATCATTGGCTGTCATATTGTATCTTTCTATTAAAAATAAATGTAAACAAATAAACTTGTAAAGGTTAGTGATATATCTAGGAAAAACGAACAGAAACCTAATACTGAATATGGATTTACAGGATAACGATAAGAACTCAAAATCAATAACGGCACAGATCCTCTTGAATCTGGTGAAAAATATACTCTTGTAACATATATATTTACAAACAACGAATTATAGGTCATTAGATGTACAGCACAAATAACAATAATAAATATCATATATAACAATTACATGAAACATCCATTTGATCATTTAGTTGCAAAAGTAAATCATTATTTCATAAACAAAGAAACTGGACTCCTTAACTATGTGTATAAAGAAATCTGTGGAACCAAAGTATGTTCGGAACTGGTGTTGTAGGACTATGTTGTTTTACAACTGAAAGGAAGTTGACCAGCGGTAGCACATCATCTTAAGGAAAATAAAAGTAGAATCACATGTGAAGCCGTAATTTAGTTAATTAGTATTCAGAGTAATAAAACTGTGGAAATGTGTTCTCCGAGCTGGATAGTTTAGCCACAAACCTTTCATTGTTTTTACAGACATCATAAACATTAAAAGATCACTTCTCTTTGATATACGTGCTATTGATGTCATTTAGAAAGACCATCCACTTCGAAGAACACCCCAAAATCAAACCGTGATCTAAGTTCAAATACAAATAATTACTGCCAGCCAATAACTCCGTACATTATTTCTTTGGGGGGTGAGTTACAATAAAATGGGGTATATTTGTATTCGATCAAACCAATTTGTTTGATCCAAGGGTTATATAAATAGACAAAGAAACACTGAAATATGTCTGATCAATAGGCAGTTTCAATGAGTCGAAGAAACACAAATTCCTCTTCTTGTGCATAAAATTAACCTAATCATTGTTATTAATAATCGATAACAACGAGGCAAAATACTGGAAGTCAAATTAATATACTAACCTTTAGGTAGATGAGGTAACAGAATAGTATGGTCAGGTAAACTGAACCACATTCGGAATGCCTTCACTAGTCTGGATTGGAATGTGTTATGCTGATTAGCAGTAGTTGTAACATTGGATACATCAAAGTAGTAATTCTTCAAACCAACGGAAAGCTCTAGAATGAGAAAATGAAATTTAAATCAACAAGCTTCCATGATCACTTTTAACATGCTTTTAGTTTACCCGAAGTAAACTGTGTAGTGACACAAACTACATTATAAATGTTTGTTAAGTTTTAAGCGGAAATAAAGTTTTAAAAAGTCATAAGTTTCTTTTGTCGCAAGGAGCGCTCAAGTTGAATAAGTAAAAATTTGTAATAGTCCATTCAGTTAGAAACATTAATGATATTGTAATATGCAAACATGTGTATAGAGGATTAATGATAATATTCAGTTTTTAAAACCATAATAAATAGGACAAAATGCACAATAATTAATTGAAAGACAAGTATTTTCATCAATGAGAAATGTCATCAATTAAGTTATATGCAAATTATATAAATATAAGCAGTGTTTACCATCTTTATGTTTTATAAAGTGTTGAGTAACCCGCGCAGCTAAAAGACGTCCCAAATCAGAGCATGATGACAACAATCGAGATGAATTTCCAGTACGTTCATGACCATTCGATATAGTCAACTTGTTTGTTGATGAAAACCGTTTCAAGAAAGCGACTAACAGCTTTAATTGTTTCAATATGCATAAATCCAACCACTGTTTCAAACATTCTTCGAGCTTTAAATAGAAAAAGAATAAAATCATTAATTAATACTTTCATTCCCATTGACAATCGTTTCAAACTATAACCAGTATCTCACAATGTCAGGTGGAGACCTGACAAATGAAAAAAAGTAAAACCACAGGTAGGTGTATCAGTTTCGGTTTTCATAATCGACCATATAATCAAAAAAGAAAGTAAAACGGTAGGAATAATTTAAAGCAATCACGTTGAAGGCAAACCAACGTAAGATGTTCGAAATTTGTTACTACAAATTACCAGTTCGATTTTGTATTCTAGGATATGAAGAAGCAAATTAGTAATGAGCGCATGATCGACTTCAATTCGTAGTTATATAGTCCCTGAATTTCAGCAGTTCAAGTACAGCACATAAACAACTCAAAATTGAGTTTCATATAAACATAAACAGTTACAATGTCTGACTACTTTCAACTAATTTTACCAAGACTACCAATCCAACCTAATGGAAAATGGCACTAAAGTTTTGTCAAATTGAGCTTGAGTTTAATAGGTTGCGGAAGATTAAATAACCTGTTAGTATACCTTCGACAACACCTGATAGCAACGACAATGTACTAAATTTCAACTCTCAATCTCTTAACAAGTGCTCATCTCTAACAAACCCATATACTGTTAACGATAAGTTACATCAGTCATTCAAAATCTAAACTTAGTATTTTATACATATGACTAGAAAGAATGTTGATCAGTTACCCATGATTGCAGGACGTTCAACTCTTCTCCTTCATCTCGTTGTTTAACAAAAATATAGCCAGCTTTATAAAATGTCATTCTGTAACGAAAATAAGAAAGCAAAAATAATGTATAGCGAGTACATACTAACTTAACATTTACTTACAAAAAGACGAATTCTTACCTAAACATATCCCAATTATTCGTCCCATGATAAAAAACAGTAGGCCAATATTTGTCGGAATTATGATTGATTTCAAGCTGAAATAATAAAAACATCCCAATAATCAATGAACATTTGAAGAAATCATAGGTCCAAAGTAAAACTGACTATTTGAAATCTGCCACAAAACGATTTCCAGAAGTATACGACCAATAATCCCATTACACAAAAGTGAAGACGAGAATGCTCCAACAGTTAGACGTCAACGAATTTCGTATTGGTCTAATTAGTCACCAACATCTCTAAAACAATACCCTAAATAATATTTATGACTGAGCTGTGCAGAAGAACAAAAGGAACATTGAATAATATATCAGTCACGTTAGCGAGTGTTAATATATACTTTGGTTTGACCGTATAAGTCGGATAAGTCATCTGTAATATGAAGATTAATATTCAATCACATAAGTAGGTTTACTAATTAAAATCATATTAGTCCATAAACTATAATAATTCCGTATAGTAAATGAATAAGATATTATACTGAATAGTTTTGGAAGCTAATGTATTTCTATCCTTCTTTCTTTGTGACAGATTTACCTAGCTCATAAGATCCGAATACAGGAAATTTATGCTTGAAAGGTGGAATAACATATGTGAATAAAAGAAATATTGGGCATCTCTGATAAAAATCATGACAATGATACTTTGCTGAAAATAATCGCAAAACAGTGAGTTCACAGCTTAACGGCATGCTAATTGATGATAAACACTTCCACACTGATCGAAATAGTCCCATTCTGTCCTGTGGATCAAGCACTCCTGTGTTTTACGCTACAAAGCTTCACATCTAAGCGGTTCGTTTTCCAAAAATGCTCACTAGCTTAAAAAATACTGTGATCGGTTGGAATCTCGTTATAAAAATTGGATTTATTCAGTAAGTTTGAAGAAATCAAGGAAATTTCAACTCAAATATTGAAAAATACATAGTAATGAACTTTCTGGAATTCGTTTTTTATCCCAAGTAGACAGTTATTCGAATAAGAAGACTGATAATAAAAACTGATCTACTGTTTTGACTTACCCAAGCTATGTTTTCTAATACATCAGATGGGAAGACAAAAGTATCGTTTGATGAAACTATAACATCAGATTCCTGCAAGTATAATAAAGACAAATTGACTTGATGTTTGATAGATACAAAATAATATACGTGTACGAAAGCACAGTGTAAAACAATTGCACTTTAAGTCTAGACCTTGATTTAGACTGACTACTAACTACATAATTTTTTTGTAAAACAGTGCCAACTAACTCTAAGACAGGTGGATATGAAAAACAAATACACATCGAAAGATAACGTAAAGGTCTACTAAGAAAGACTTACACGTAGTTTGGCCTCAAAATTAGACAGAACAACACGACCAGTATCAACATCTACAGCACAAACGCGTCGAGGTATGGTAGCGAGAGCATAAAAATGACGAAGAGCTTGTAAATGATACCTAAAAAAGAATAACATTTCCAGAAAATCACCTCTGTAATCAACCTAAAATTTACTCTTCAATGAAGTCATTTACTTAAGCTGTAAACTCGTATGTATAGTGGCTTGATAAACATATAAGTCTATAGAAGAACAAAAGTGATTGCATAACAAAGTTATGTCAGGTTTCTAATATCGAAAGGTTGCATAGTGATCAAGGGAGTTAGAGAAGAATGGGAGAATGAAAATAATTCACTGATAATTAGGCAACTTCCTTTCGGTATTTATAATGTGGTCTCTTTTATTCTTCTATAGACTCACATATTTATCAAAAAAACACAACTATAACTACGAATGTAATGTTTAAGTTTTTGCACCCTAGATAAGGACATTTGTTTAGTACATTTAAGGGGTTATTTATTTAGGTAGATAGAGTATTTTCATTTTTAAAGGTTTTTGTTCCTGTTATAGGTTGAGTATATTGAGGATGACATGTGTAGATGTCATTTTAGCCAGCCCAAGGTTTTGTTACAATCCATTAATGAACAACTGTCAGTCAGTCTTGAGTGCCGTCAGAGGCATGAGGGTGGCTGCCCACACCGTGGAAGGGTTCTTCTAAAGGTACCTGAAAATGAAATTGGATGAGAGGTGCTCTTAGTGACCTGAGCGTGACCGCAGTGCCGAAGGGACAACTGCTTCAGGCCGGTCACACACGACTGTTTTGTGAGTAGTTTTCGTATTAGCTCCGAACTTGTTGGGACCTTATAGCTGGAGACGATAACCCATAGGATAAGATGAGGTGTGCATTTTCTAACCCCAGCCTTCCTTGTGGGAAGGTAATATCGCTGTCATGCTGGTTGTCTGAAGGAAACGACTTACTGCCGTCACACCTCTGTACAGTCAGTAGGCCGACTTCACCCTCGTATCTTGTGTTTGCTGTTTTTAGTCTTACTGCTCTTCAACCGATCAATCTGGCATGGTAGGACCTTGAGGAGACGTAATAGGTAATGTGTACTAGAGCAAGTTCTTCGCGGTTGTGTTTTCAATTTAACTATATATACAACTTGACTGCGACCGTAGTTCTTCCGGAGTTACTGTCAGTCCCATGCACACACAAAGAAGGAGGGTTGGGCATGAGGTCGGCAACCCCATCCCGTAGATAACAACATTGCTATAAAACGATAACTAGGTTAAACCGGGAGGACCAGTCAAACAGCTACGGAAATGAGTAGATACAATTTGGCAGGAATGAAAATGGTGAGAGATTTGCAAATCTATATGCCTTCAACAAATTGGTTATAGGCGGTGCAATATCCTCCCACAAATGCATACCCAAAGCTACATGGGTCTCACAGAATCACATCACGGAGAACCAGATAGATCATATTTGCACCACCAAAACTTTCAGAAGGTTAGTGGAAGATGTGAGAACTAGGAGAAGAGTTGACATCACTTCAGATCACCACCTGGTGTTTGCCAAAATGAAACATAAGTTGGAGAATCAGTGGAAAACTGGGGAAACAGCATTACAAAGGTTCAATAAAGCCTTCCTTCGACATACTGACAAACTAAACGAATTCAAGATAACTCTCAACAATACCTTCCAAGCCTTACAGGATCTACTGAAAGAAGAAGAAACTACGATGAAGGACAACTGGAAAGGTATCAAAGAAGCCCTAACTTCAACGTTTCATGAGGTGCTGAGCCGCGAGTAGTATCATCATAAGGAATGGATCTCCATGGAAACTCGCCATGATTCAAGAAATGAAGAACAAGGAGACAGTAATTACCAACAACAGAGAAAGTCAAAGCACAAGCTGAATGCACAGAAGTAAACAAGCAAGCGGAGAACAGCATTAGAGCTGACAAACAGAAATACATGGAAGAGCTAGCAACGACAACAGAGAAAGCTACCATTACTAACTGGGTTTTTTTATTCGTCACGTGTTTGAAGCTTGTTTTTGGCTCCAGTTTCGTTATATATATGCTTGGCTTTCAGAAAGATTTAAATATGAGGGTTAGCAATACTACAAGTAGTGCAACAGTAGGAAAAACAATTGATTAAATTTTTTATATACATATTTCTTAAATCCTGTCAAAGTGCATACATAAAGATCATCCAAATCAAGTGTAACTTTATAAGATGATTTGTAGGGGGGTCGAAAGCTATTTAGGTAAAACTATACAAGTATGATCAGCTTACCAATTATCACCAGCGAATGTAGGAAGAAGAGGGAAAAAGGATATAATCAGCATTGCAGCAGCTTCCGGTGTATTTGCTAGCGTTAATCTGAAAATATAATAAAAACACAGATGAATATTTTTTTTAAAATATGTTCTAAAAACCTATGCACGTAAAACTAAATTCTAGCTTTAGCTGTTATAAATGATATTACTCGTAGTGGCAAATGTGCAGATTAATTAAATGCATACCAGTTTTCTCACATAAGCTAACTATCAAGGGTAAACACACCAACACATACATACGCGCTTATTTGCTTTGAAAAATGTTAATGAATGGAAATGGTAGCACGTAAAGACTATGAGATAGTTAAATTAATACTTATTATTATTACTTGTAAGGCATTAACGAGAATAGTAATAATAATTATCACTATTACCATTATTAGTATTAGAATTATTATTGCAAATATTATTTTTATTACTACTACGAGTTATGAAACAATATGCGGCATGATAGTCTAACTCTCTACTTTCATACTACCATAAGACGTAAAAGTCAACAATAGTAAAACAGAAAATTAACAGGATGGAAACCTTAGAAACAATTGATTAGTAAAATGGATACTCAATGAAATTTACAAAAAGGTATTTACTTAGCTATGAAATAAAGGCAAAATAGAGTCCATATGGTTAACAAAATATCGCTGTTTATACAAACACCAGTTAGGGATGGTGCACACAGCGAAATGTTAATGCTTACGTTGCGTGGGATAATCCAGAGAATGTTCAACGCAGGGAAACTACAAATGCTATCCACACATCTAGTGATGACATTAAGATCGAAGGACAGATTGTCCATAATAGCGACCTCTTCGTCGCTAACAATTCAACTGCTAACGCAGAGCAAGTTGCATTAGGAATTTACTTTCCTGTGCTTGTGAAATAATTCCAGTACGACTAGGTCATAAACGAGTTTTAAAAAAATAGTCAACACCTCCATCCCAGTCCATTAAGCTAAAACAAGTCATACAGTCAACATAGATCATCTGCCGAAATCTATCAGATTTGAAAACGAGTATCCACCCAGGCTGGTCTACAAAGACATACAGTTTAAACCTCTAAAAGTACAAATACGCTCCGCACCACAGAAAACCCTCTTCATAAACATCAATTTCAAACATGGAAAGCCGCAGACATCTTGAAGAACAGGATTTCTAACTCTCTCAAAAGAACGCTCTTCCGAGCAACCTTACGTTTAGTAAACGCTAACCGACAAATGCTCATCAACAACCTAAAGCATAAGCTCTCACATTGACAACTTAGTTCATCACCTGCTTCTGCACAGCTAGGTACGTCGATTCTTCGATGAGTGTTACACTCAAAAGAATACATTATACATTATACGACTTGGTTGAAAGGAGATGGAAAGGAACTTTCGGTCTCATGTACGAACGCTTACCTCTAAACCGCTGAGCTAGGACATGTCTAAATCAAATCAACTCACAATATTGAGCTACAATTTTAAAACATTTACCTGCCTCACACTTGGCTATTCTCTTTGTAATATTAATTTGGGAACTGATGAAAATGTGTTGAACAGAATATTATTCATTCAGTTCGTGTGTTTATTAAAATACACTTCTTTCAAATGAAGTCTTATTGATCAATACAACAAACTGAAAGACCATATTGAAAAGTTAAGGAATTGATTCTAACCTTTTTAACTAGCATATAACTAAAAACTCAGTTTGTAACGATTCGGTTTTCAATAGCCGTATACAAGCAAGTTATATTAATTCGTAAGTTGTTGAGAGATACACGGACGAAGATGAGGAATAGTCCAATGTAAGGAAACAACTCAGTCATGAGAACTTCAACACTACTAAAAGACTAACTTAATTTTTTAAATGCTAAGTTTCAATACGTGAAAATAAAATAAAAACGGCTAGGAATGGTTTACATACCGTCCACCGCCAAGAAATAACAAACCAACGGTGTTAGCGAGAAGCATTTGTAATCCGTAACTTGGACCAAGAGCAGCACCAAATACCGACGCTACAGACACGGGACCACTAACAGACGCTCCTGTTGAGCTAGTGGAAACGGTTTGCGTGGTTGCAGCAGCACGAGCTGCGGCAGCTGTAACAGTATGATAGAGTGAGTCTGATGCAGTGTTGTTAATTGGTCCAGAACTCAAAGTATCCGGTTTAGAATTGAATAGATGGATAGCTCGCAGTTGCCGAACTATTTTAAGAACAGTCAGATTGCCAGAGCCAGCAAGTATCATAGCGAGAGCTAAGAGACACTGAGCTGCACTTTGAAATAACGTGGACTTTGGTAAAGATGTCTTTATTTGTTCTGAATCACATTGCTTATTTTGAGACGGTGATTTAACGGCAAATATGATGGAGGCCACCAAGTATCGTTTAAAAGACTTCTTGCAAGAGAATACTAGAATGCAATAAATAAAGAGAACTCATTACACTGGTTTACAACCCAAGACAACTGAAGCTAATAAGTGTCTATGAACACATGTGTTATGGATACCAAAAAACTCATAATGATCGAATGATATCATTTTGAACGAAAGGGTTCCTAAATCGATCATTATGGTTTTGCAACAAAGTATCATATAAGTTTGGTTTTCAACACAGTTTACAACGTCAGGGAACAAAGAAATTAAAACATAGCTATTGTACATGGTAGTAAACAAGAGAATAGATAATGTAAACCTTTTTAACATAGAACCATTTGTTATATTATTAAAACATAGAAAGCATAAATAAAATTAATCTTCGTGATAATCTTTCACAACGAAAAATGTAGAAAACTATGAACTTGAATTCACTTGCTAAAAACCGGATCTTTCAGACAAAAAAAGATAACTTAGTTGCCTCCGAAACATTGGTAGCAAGAAATCATTCGACACATCAAGTAATCTAATTAAAAGCTGACAAACTAACTACAGACAACGGAGATGAGACAAAGATATCTGTAAGAATATTGTCTATTCAGTAGAGTAAAATAAATATAATTACCGATATTTGAATATTACATTAGATCACTTGTGAGGCAATCAGTCATACTCAGTGTAGGACCTAAATAGATCTGCAACACTTCAAGTTACCACACGGCATATAGAAATATTAGGATGAGTGACAAACGAGTAAAAACGATATTATTACCAATGAAAGTAAGATTAAACATGAAGAATTTGGTTTGAAATGAAGGAGTCATGTAGGGGAATAAAAGTATGAAATAATACTAAGACCCGAGACGGAAGAGAAAGAGAATGACGAATTTATCCTTGTCACTGTGACTGATTTGGAGTTATGTCCATCTACAAACTAATTACGACAATTACATGCAAGCAAAACCTTAAAGCTTACTTATTTTTTTATTTCAGAGAACTAGTATTAGGTGGTAAGCACAAAAAAGGTTCAATAATAATCAAAATACGGTAACAACATCGAGGTAACCTAAAAGATATCACAGTCCAATGCCACAGTACTTATGAACTGTAAATGATCAGGATAGTTAAGATGTAGCAGATAATAAGATAGTTTCAATCAATTAGATCTAATCAACGAACAAATAAGACTGTTAATGGAAACTACTTGTGGTAGTAGCCCATCAATATTACAATGCCACACAGGTTATTTGGCTGGTGCAGATTATAAATATCGTATAGCGGTAAAAGTGTTACAAAATACAAAAAAAAATTATTATTATTATTATTATTGTTATTATTATTAGTAAATTCATCAAAAATATTACTAGTGTATTAGCTGCATTTGAATTCGATGTCCCAGCGTAACGCAAACCCATAGCTAGAGCACATCCAACTAGGATGTTTAAATAAGCCAAACTGAAATAAAGAAGAACCAGAAGAATGAAGCAAGTAAATAATAAAGTAAAACTTTTACGTCGCACCAACCAATTAAAGTTAAGGTAAATAATTGAGGCAATAATGATAATAAATCTCAAGTTCTTATATTAAAAACTGTGATGCGCCAGTATTATATACATATAAAGAACGCATAATGACTTGAAAATCTGAACACCATCAATAACTGATCGTTTGTCTGACTCCATGATGGTTCATGATAATTTCGCTTCATAAGTGACCTTAACAAAACAATATTCACTTCATGGTTAATTTTGATCATTAGCAGGAAGAACAACATTGCTGAATAAATTAATAATTAAAACCGGTCAGAACTTTTGCCTGACCCAAACTCCAAATGTGAGTGCTGAATTTATCAGCCGAAAAAATTAATTGAGTACGGAGACCTAACCAAATAAATACCCTTTAAGTCTTTGGGTATGCTTGAAAGTTTACTGAAGGGGCAGGCCATCAAAGTGAATCAATATGGTTGGCTCGTTTGTGTGTACGTTTTACAAAAGTAATACATAGACGTCTGCTGAAATACTTACAGTAAATCTAGTGAAGCATGTTGTTTGACTAAATATAGAATAGAAACATCAAAGCTATAACATACTATTTTAGTTTTCGCATGCTAATTGAGCTATTTTCTAAGCCCAATCTTTGTGAATAAATACAAAAAAGTTGTAGAGTATGGGAAGTTGAGGAGCGAGATAAGAAACGAAAGAATCAGATTTAGATGTTCATACATACATGCCACTCCAAATCCGTTAAGATTGCTGAGTGTGAACTTTCTGTATTATCTCAAGAATAAACTATTTTCATATTTGTTTTGTTACACATGTTTATAGTTAGAAAGTTCAGAATTCATTTATTCGACGTCGATAACACGCATCTATTCTGTAAATATAAAGTGAACGTTAAAAGAGGATCGATAAATCAATAAAATTATGCTTTCATAGTGAATATCAATAATAATATATACTCACCTTATGGCTTCAATATCCACAGAATCTTTGTTTTGCAATCCAAATTGATCGAACCACTCGCTTTTTCCAGGGACGGCTTTGATATTGTTGACACTAGATTCCTCTTCAGACCATTGTCTTATATCATATCTCCTTGACCGTCGAACAGGTCGACCACGAACATTATTTAATGTACTTCGACGGCCTCTATTATATGGAGAACGTCCATATGCATGGTATAAAGAATCAGTAAATATTTGATCTGGACATCGATTTTCAACATCATCTTCACTGGATAAATCAGCCTGCCCCAATGTAGCACGAATATCTGAGACGCTCGGTGAATGTAACTTTGGTCTTGGTTTGATGGACTCGCTAAGCCTTTCAAACAATTGTTCCGGTATGTAAGAATCTATCCATTCTTGAGTTGGTTCTATGGAATTCCAGTTAACAAGACCATAGGCAAGCGCTTGGAACAAGAGCAAGTCGGGTCGAATAAGCTCCAACTGGCGTAAAGAAGATGGTGGAAGGAGCCAACTACTGACGGTGGAATTACCACTACCCAAATAAGCCATTCCAAGAGCCATCATAGCACCAGGGGCGCTAACATCTGCGTTGTAGCAGTGAAGGTCCCTTATCTGAAACAAAAATTTGGTCAAAAGAAAAAATAACAAAGTGGAGATGGAGAGAATGTTAAAATGTAAGATTTGAGCCAAAATTAACACACAAACAGTAGTTGTGGATTATACCTGAGGATTTTTCCATATTGTTTTAGTTGAACATTCGTCCAAACGACCAGCAAGGTCAGAAACAGTAGATGAAATTCTATTAGGGCCATTTGTTAGAGTTGGAGATGTCGCAGGACCAGTATTAGATAAACTGCGACGACGAGATGAAGGTTGTCGACTGGATGAAGAGATTCCTCTGACATCCATTGAATTATGTGAATGGTCATTAGTTAGAAATCGCTCTGGATCAACTAAAGGTTCCGTTGAGTAATCACTGTGCAGCAGTAAGCTGGGAGTTCGAAAGGCACTTAAAGAGAGAGAAGCACCTCTTGTAGAAGAATCTGATAAATTATTTTGAGGACTAACAGGTTCAACACTCGTCTGATGAGGTCGTCTTGAATGGTCTACTAGTCGATGGGGAGCACCTCTCCCCTTCACGCGCTGAATAGGTAAACATCTTTCATGCAGATCACATGAGAAGTGCACGGTGAATTGTTGATTCTCTGCAACAGCTGAATTCGTACTCCTTGGTCCCGAAGTCATATACGCACGTAATTTCTCCGCCCATTGTAGATCGGACAAACCACATGGTGTATCGCCTCTCTGTGAATAATATACACAAAAAGCAAATCATTCAGTAAAACTAAAAAAATTACTATATGACGAGCAGGCGTAATAACCTTATTGGAAGCTAAACTTTGGTCATTTAAACCGAGTAATACCTGATAGATGAATCCTATATAATACATTAGGTTGGCTTTTCAATTTTGTGAGGATTGATATGTTAGGTGAGAGCAAGATCACCAAAAATTCTTAACAACGCTACTATTTCCAAAGCCACTATCAGACCTTATCTGATCAGAAAATAAAGCTTACTACTATAGGCTCAGATGATCACTATGCAACAGATCTTAAAATACAAAGAAATTTGTGAGAATGTATGGGTGCAAAAACTCACCTGTAGGAGTACAAGCCCGAGTGCAAGACCTGCTGAAAGAGCCATAAGCTCACAGCTGTCACCTGCAAAACCCCCTGAGCCACCAGCACCAGTCCAACCGATGGTATTATTTGTGGGATTATTATTAGATGCATTAGAAACAGTTTGTTGGGAGTCCGTATCTGCATTTAATCCTAAATGTGCACCATCAGAATGAGAATCTTCACTTAACGAACGACCTAGCTCATTAATCAATAAATTAGTAATATGTCGATGTGCTGATCCCTGATAAAGTAACCCAAGACCGAAAATGGCAGCCGCTTGGCATAAATTAGGAACACTAAGTTGGACATTAATCAAAGGATTGGAAGGCAAAAGTGGACGGTAATGAACTGCAATAAGCCGCAAAACAGACTGATCCATTGTACCTCGTCTCCCAGCACATAACCCTTAAAAAGATAAAATAAGATGTACATAATAACTAGTTTAGCGAAGAAATACAATTGAAGAATATATAACTACTTCTTGCTTATTATTTACACGCTTTAACAAAACTATATTGTGTTTTCTGTAGATTTATGCATGTTCTTATCTGCCGAATTGTATTTTGCCCATTGTTTATACGAATAAACTGGGCTACATTTAACTCTTAGAGTTGGCGTTTGATTAGATACATACAAAAATAGATAGGCGTATGGTTTAGAAGAATAAAATGAGACGCTTAAAAGTCCCCATATATAACCCTATTTGTCCAAAGAAATGTCAACAATATTTTAAGGAAGATGGCGTAAACAAATCTGATCGACTATAGAAAAAGATTTTAATTTGAAAGTAAACTGACTGTTTAATTACCATAAAATGAATAACTTATAAATGTATTAATATCTTGAAAACAAACATAAAAATCAGATAAACATAAAACTCTCCTAACAAAGATAATATGTATATATCTGTTACGTCCTGTACTTGGTTACGGCAAATACGGTATACAACCATCGGCACTCAGACGCGTAGAGCTCCACAGTCCCAAATCAAAAGACGAAAGAAGCGGGGAGAGCAATTATTACGTAAGTGTCAAAAAATGTACAGAAAAACAGTAGTATTTACAGTTTTTAGTAAAGGCTATAACACCACTATAATCCAGCCAATCCGCAAATAGGTAAGATACACACCCGTCCAATAACAGCATGCCACATCGACATTCTAAAAAAACTGAGTTTATTCGTGAATTTCAACGGATATATGATATATCATATATAATGAACTCACTAACCAAGTGCCTTCTCGTGGGGAGGGTGTTGTTTACGAAAATGAGAGGATGAAAAGCGAATGTCCGGCGCTTTAACCAGATCCCAAACCAGTGGTGCACATGGGCTCCAGTGGTATATGGACCAATCGTTGGTCACCGGCTACCATGGGACCGCATCTCACGATGCTCCACTGCCTTGTGGGTCAGACCTTAGGTCAAACGCTCGAGGTGTGGCCCCCTAAGGTAACCAGTTGCTTCGGTTTGGGCACCCGGGCAGTATCACAGCCCACACACAAATATGATGAAATGTCGATATTTATGGAAAATACTTGTCTTGCTTCGATTAACAATCAAACGATTCACATTATTATTATTATTATTATTATTATTATTATTATTATTATTATTATTATTATTATTATTATTTACTACGTCATTATTCACCCTCTTTTATTCCTACTCTGTCTATACTTATTTTTTTCGACTTATACAGCAGTTCGTCTATGGTGGAAATTCGACTGTATCTAAACGTTCTCGAGTCACTGTCCGGTTGAAAATTGTATGTTACCACCGAATATGAGTACTGAAGCAGTTTTCTGAAACCACGTGCACCATTCAAACTGGCTGCCTTCAACGTTCGCACACTTATGCAGGTCGGACAACAGATAGGGCTGGCTATGTCTTTGGAAAGTCTTAATATCGACGTTTGTTGTCTATCCGAGACCCGTATTCAAGACTCTGGCGAAGTACTACAAATTCGATCTCCATCTGTCGCTTCGAAAAGCTTGTTTTACGTGCGCTTATCCGGGGACCCTGTGGCATCTTCGTCTGGTCTTGCTGGCGTTGGTGTCGCACTAAGCGCTAGAGCTGAGGCAGCACTAGTCGATTGGATCCCCATTAACAGTCGGTTATGTGCTGTTAGATTAGAAAGTTCCATCAAAGTGAGAAGAAATCGGCGTGAGAAACGATGTCTTTTCGTCATCTCCGCCTATGCCCCGACAGATTGCAGCCCGGATGCAATCAAGGATGAGTTTTACCACCAGTTATCTGTTCTTCTCCAGAAAGTGCGTTCGACAGATATTGTAGTACTAGCCGGAGACTTGAATGCTCAGGTCGGGCGTCTAGGCACAGAAGAGAGTCGTTTAGGTGGCCGATGGGGACTCGTTGGTCGCAGGTCAGATAACGGGGACCGTCTACTGCAACTTTGCACAGACCACAACCTGTTTCTGGCTAGCACTAACTTTCGGCACAGTCATCGCCGATGTGCCACCTGGCGTCCTCCCTCTGCATCTCAAGCCTGGACTCAGATTGATCACATCGCGATCAGCTACCGCTGGCGTGGTTGTGTACAAGACTGCCGCTCCTTTTGGAGTACCTATCTGGACTCTGACCATGCCTTGGTCTGCGCCAATCTTACCTTACTTTTCAGTGACCAATTAATTGATCGTCATCAACGGATTAATGTCAGAAAGTTGGTTGCAACTTCTGTTGCTAGTAAATATCTAACCGAGCTAGTTTCTAGGCTAGCTACCATTCCACCGAAAAGTATAGATGAGCATTGGTTGCAATTGCATGACGCCATGAAAATGGCGGGAACAGTCAGTTGTGGGTTTGCTTTAAAGCACTGGGTTTCCTCTGGTTCCTTACAACTTCTTGAAGCCCGTCGGTCTACTCCGGGTGACCGTGAATTTGACCACAAACGAAGAATGTTACGTAATGAAATTGGGCAAAGCTTGCGTAAGGAACGAGAAGCCTGGTGGTCGCAGCGTGCTAATGAGCTGGAAGCAGCAGCTGCATCTGGTAACTACCGGAAGCTCTTCCAACTCATCCGAGCCACTGGCAGCAAGAAGTCTGGTGTGAGTTAAACAATCTGCGAGGATGATGGGATGCCAATCACTAACATCCATCGACGTCTTGGACGATGGGCAGAATTTTTCGAAGGGCAGTTCAACTGGCCTGCTGCTCCGGCAACATCGGTCAGACTGTCCTGCCCTCCATGGCCGGTGACGACTGATCCACCAAATGAGGCGGAAGTCCGCAAGGAACTCCAACTCTTGAAGCGTTACAAATCACCTGGCCCAGATGACTTACCTCCGGCTCTTTTTAAAGATGGTGGTGACTTTTTGACTAAGGAATTGACGACGTTGTTTACAAAAGTTTGGGAACTAGAGAGTGTACCAACGTCATGGAATGAGTCGATAGTTGTCCCTATCTTTAAAAAGGGTTCACGTCGTTCCTGTAACAACTATCGGGGGATAAGTCTACTTCCGATTGCGTCCAAGCTATTGGCTTCCGTCATACTTCGTAAGTTGTTCAAAACCCGAGAAAGATTGACTCGCGAGGAGCAGGCTGGGTTTCGTTCTGGTCGAGGATGTATTGATCATATCTTCACCCTCCGCCAAATGTTAGAACACCATCATACTTATCAAAGGCCAACAATCGTAGTGTTTCTTGACATTAGGGCCGCCTTCGATTCGTTGGACAGGACTGTTCTCTGGGATTGTCCACTGGAGGAGGGTGTGCCTGAGAAGTTTATTAACATCTTATAGGCTCTATATACAAACACCTCAGGTAGAGTGGGGGCATACAACCACCTCTCTCCATTGTTCCATTTAAGCAGTGGGGTTAGTCACGGTTGCCAAATCTCACCATTACCCTTCAACTAACACGTCGATGACATTCTGGAAACAGCTCTGATGGATGTAGGTAACGGTAGCAAGGATCTGTTGCCATGCAATCTGCACTTAGTCACTTGGAAATTCGTGTCCGTGAACCTTCGAAGTGCAAAACACTTTTACAAGACTGGAAGGACACTGACATTGCACTCACCCTGGATAGTGAGAGGATAGACGTGGTCAAGGAGTTCGTGTATCTCGGTAGTTGCATAAGTGCTGGTGGTGGCGTGAGTGATGAGATCGATTCACGTATAATGAAAGCCAGAGCGGTTTATGCCAATCTGTGCCATCTTTGGCGCCTTCGTGATGTCAGTCTGGCTGTCAAAGGCCGGATCTACAGTGTGTCGGTGAGAGCAGGTTTACTCTATGCTTGGGAAACCTGGACTCTCCGAGTTGAGAATGTTAGACGACTCTCTGTGTTCGATCATCGTTGTCTTCGAAGGATTGCTGACATGCAGTGGCAACACCATTTTAGTAATGCAGAGGTTCGGCATCGTGTGTTCGGGCACAGAGACGATAATGCAATCGATGTCACCATCTTGAAACACCGATTTCGGCGGCTTGGACATGTCCTACGAATGTCGTCCCAGAGAATTCCACGTCGTGTATTATTTGCCGACTCTGGAACTGGTTGGAAGAAGCGGAGAGGTGGTCAGTGCATGACATGGTGTCGTGGTATGAAAGAAAGCTGCAAAGGGCTGGTTTGTGTCGATCCTTCACGACTCCATGGTTGAGGTCCGAGAGACGGTTCAACACAGTGGCTAGAGACGTTATCAGATATGGCTCAGAATAGAAGCCAGTGACGATCATGCTGTAACCTTCTTTTACTTTCTTCATAAAAAGTGGTTGTATCTTCTTAAATGAAAGATTTATTCTGACTGTACCCTTCTGTTCCCCTACCATTACTATTACACTACCTTACACCAATCTCTTCGTCATTGTTTTTGTTTTGTTTTTTTATACCTTCTTTTACGTTCCCCACTTTTTTCTTTTTTTCTTAAATTCTCATTGTTTTGTGTGGCGCATATATATTTGGCGCACTCCTGTACCAATAAACATGTGTTCAAATAAATAAATAAATAAATTGGGTAACCAGGTTATATCTTCAAATCTCAAATAGATAATTACGTTTTTTTCGCTATTATTACAAAACAATTCAGATAACATTACGTTGCAGTTAAAACGTCGGCAACCAGAAAAGGTATAAAAAGCAAAATTATTTTTTACAATATAATTGTATTCAAAACAAGAAAATTATATATATATATATATATATATATATATATATATATATATATATATATAGGGAAAAACAATATGAACTATAAAGACCCTACCTAAAAGTACAGCCATATTGTGCAAGTCATGCACTCGTACAAGATATTCTCCTATATCATAAGGTGTAATTTTGTTTAGATGACCATTTAAACCCAAACCAAGAAGTAGACCAGCTTGTTCTGGACTAGACGTGTCCTGGGATGATGTGGAATCTTGATTAGTACGAAGATTATTTCTGGAATTATTAGTGGATGTGAGTCCGGCAGCACGACAGTTATATAAAATCCATGTTGCATCTATCTGCAGTGAAGCATACAAATAGGCATTAAAAATTCATACATTCATGAAAAAACAAGTAACCTATAGTTCATTTAATATTAATAAAAATGTTAATGAATTATTTAATGCTCTCATTCCGATTGTAATTTAATCACAGAGACCTAAACACAGATAAGTCACCGAGGTTAAACTAAGTTAACCGTTGCTACTACTACACTAAGTAGGATCCTAACTACTTGCATAAGAAATGTGACTAGTAAATATATCACGGAATTGCTATGAATAGAAACAATATTACATATAAATGTTGACGACCGAAGCAATTTGCCTTCTTATTTTCTCACATAGGAGGGTTTACACTAATGGTAGTGAGATTTTCAAGCAACAGTAAAAAGTGGTCACAAAATACGTTGAACGTGAGTAACTCTCTTGACTGTTATGATGGCTCAACAAAAGTATACAGGCACTTTCGTGACTGATTTTTTATTTTGAAATGTATTCAGTAAATGGAACTTAATTTGATTCAGTAAATATGTTATGAAAATTAATATGCAAGAACTACACGCACAATTTTCGGAACTAACCGAGGCATGAGGTGATATACTTAAACCAATAGCCACTCCATTATGAAAATCTGGCCAGTGCTTTGCAGCCAGTACTCCTGGAGCCTGTTGAATGTTGGCAGTGGACAGTAATGAAGCAGTAGAAGACGCTGAGTTTGTAGCTGTCGTGGAAATATTGGAACTAGCATAATTGTTAAGCAAGTTATTGCTTGGTGTCATACGTTTCAGTCCTAAGGATACAGTCTGGAAGGAAAAATCAATTGATACAGTGATTACTTTTTTATAGTTATACATTGTTAAAGATATTTCGACAAGACTAGAGAAAAAGAACTCAAAATATAATTCTAAAACAGTGTCTTACACGCAAAGATGCCCCTGCACCACATGAGGCTAATGAAGAAGCGATAGCTAGAGCCACAGAATTTCCTGGATGGTTAGAAGCGTCAACACTCTGGACACCAGTGGTTCTAAGTCTATCTCCACTACCCCCAGCTATGTCTAAGCCACTCGCAATCGCTTCAGCGGTTCCAGTCCTGTTGGCACCCACATTTGTATTAGCAGGCCCGAGGGGCTCTCGAGCGAGGTCAACCAAAACACGCCTTCCACTGCTTGGAGAAATCGCTCGACCACGTAAACATATTGGAGGTACACGAAGTTGTGTTGGTACTTTCGAACCTGTAAGGATTCCAAAAGTCAGCATTCCACGACCAATAACAGAAGCCCAAACACGAATACCAGCTGCAGCTAAGTGCATCTCAAACCGTGCTTCTGTCAAACGAGCATTTAAATCAGATCCAGAGGCATTATTGGGAGATGTACTGACAGGATCTTCGGAATTCAGACGAGGAAGACGTATATGACTGAAACTTTGAAGAAGTCGATATGCTTCACGAAGACGCAAATCATTCTAGAAATATTTATACAAATTGAAAATGTATTAAGTTTCAGACAACACAGAAACAGCAAGAAAATAATCTAGTTATCAAGACCTTAGGTAGTTGGAAGTAGTCGACAGGAAACTCTGAACATAAGTTTCGTGCTATTTAGCACTCGTCAGAAAAATGTACCTGTAGTCTTGAGGGGACTAAGGCTCAGTCAAGTGTTACCCAATTCCACATCCATAGACACTACCACTGAGCTTTTCGGGCTACTAATGACCACCTCTTACACGAATGAAATGTATTTGCAAATGACTGATCACTGAGTAGTGATCAATATCATGTTTGTTCAGTCCTTGGTCGATGGAATTCGATCAGCATTATAAAGGAATTGTTATACGTGGCATCGGTAACTACTCGGAGATCAATCGGTTTCATGTAATGATGGGTCATAAAAAGTAAAGGTTACTGGTGACAGTCAGCGAGTACTCCAACCTTCGAAAGGCTAACAACATTGTTTATGAAGATAAATAAGCTACTGACTCTCACAGAACTGCTAGAAAATAGAATAATCAGCTTAAACGAATTTATATGTTTGAGCTTGTCCATTACACAAAAGCAAATATGATATTTGCACTGTTTAATAAATTTTAGAAACCGCATTAAATCAAGATTTAATAATAGAAAAACTTTATTAACTGTTTCAACTTTAGCACAATTTGTGTGTTTTGAAAAATCTATTTCATTTACATTAGTGTTGATTGTTATGGATATCATACAATAATAAATAGATAAGTATCAATTGGCTGTTTAAATGAACTGTGTTCGATATGATAATAGTCAAAGAGAAGTGGAGAAATGATGAAAAAGATTTGCAATTCAGGTGGATACTTTTGATGGCATTGTGTTATTTGAGCACAGCAGTTTAATTGTGAAGCTTTCGTTTCCGTCCTGAATAGTTTCATCAGAGCATTCTTAGATCTTCCCTGATCGAGAATTCTGACGTCCCCCTAATTGAATTCTTGTTTGTAGTTGTCTAAGTGCACTGATATCAGTAGAGCGAATCATGAAGTTTAGCTGACAATTTACATTCGTGAATGTTTAGTGATGGCATTGCTTTTTTACTCTGGTGCATCTTTTGATTCTCATAAAACGGAAAAGTGATTGTGTTGACTTGTGAAGGACACTGATAACGAAGGGTTTCAAAATTCTGATGGTGATTTCCGAGATGTTTTCTCACATAATAGGGTGATTCGCTTCCTAGTCATCGGAATGAACTGATCTGATACTTATTCAATAATTGAAAAGCCCATTTCTACATATACTATTCTCTGATGACTTTATCCAGAACGACAACGAGAGCTTCACAGTTACATACATCACACAGCTCATAGAATGGCAACACAAACAAAAGAAGTGAAGACATATTTTACGATATCAAATACATATAAATAACAAGAAAAAGTGCCATTTACTGCTGACTTAAACGCTAAAATGCCGATAACAAATCCTGATAGGATGAATTAATATATAACGTCCTTTCATTTTGACCCTTTACGAGATTATTAACGTTTGATGATGAAAAATACATACATTTACAAATTTCAAAAATCATGTATCATCTTCGAATAAAGTAAACAACCTTGAAAGAAGCTTGACAACATGGGTTGTTTTCTATATGGTACAAAAGAGCATGAGATGATACAGCCACGTTCGAGGATAATGAGTCTATATCTCGAAGAGGAAGAACTAAATTTGACCAGCGTTCTCCGATAGACCAGGAAGACGTTTCACCGACAGACGAAGGCACAGATAATACTTTACATAGACTAATTGGCTCAGAACTTGTACTAACAGAATTAGAACAATTAAATACTGAATCAAAGATAGAGTTTTCTTGATGATTCAACATATGCGCTTGCTTTGCCAAATCAGTACGTCCTTAAATGAGAAAATATAGATTACTTATAATGTACAATAGGCTGTTAGGATATGAAAAAAAAAGGATAAAATGTGGTATCTAAAGGTTAAGAAATTACACTTGAGAAGCAGCTTGTCAAATTCACTTATTTAAACCAAAGTGCATTGAATCATAACTAAATCACTACGGAATATTATATTTTTAAAAGTTACCCACTGTGACGGAAGTGATAGGTTAACAACCAGTTTTTTGTAACTTAGCCAATAGATGGCAAATACGGTAGAATTTATGTATGACTAAACACCATGAAAAAACCGTAGTTGTAACCATAGGGTGGTTGTCTATATAGACTGTCGTTACAAAAACAACGGACCATATTGCTTAAAACATTGGTATTTTGAGAACATATAACACAAGATCTATACGAACACAAAGATTTCATTTAGCCATATATCAGAGCGGGTTTGTGCAAATATTTTTGCATCCGTGTTTCAGAATAACTGAAAACTACATTTTATCATATAAATATTTGTGTTTTTAACTTCAGTTATACACATAATCTAAATAGGTAGCAAAACGAACTTACCCATCAAACTATATACATGAGGATCACAATTAGGCGGAGGATGCAACCGGCAACGGCTAAGAAAAATACGTAAAACCATTGACAATCCAGGTGGAAGTACACGTAATCTCCTACTCAACACACCATAGAACACTGTACTGCTCGACTCCAATCGACTAAGAAATAATAATGCCAAGTGTTGTGCAGAAATCGGTAAACCAGTTGATTCATTTTCATGAGAAAATTTATTACTAGATAATGTAACGCAAGTTAAAAGTGTCTCGACATAAGAACAAGCGTATGGTCCAGCATTCTGTAGCCAATGTTTAACTTCTTCATCATTAAATATAGGAAAATCATCTCTTTTCCTTGATGCACATTCATAAACTAGATAAAATAATCAAAAAGGAAGTAGATTATTTGTCACTATCATAGAAACTATAGATAGAAGCAACGTTATGCTTTCATAGACCTAGACATACTATAATAATTTCCCACTAACGTAAAATTGTCGATAACTGAAAATGAATGCATCTAAGGTAGCTTTATGTTGCACTTTTTCAACATACCTTGAATCGCACCCAGCCATATACCCAATGAAATCCACTTTCATCTTCCAACCTTATAGGCTCTTTTAACTACTTCACTTAATCTTCCACGATCGACGACATTATGATACTTATGTTTTTGCTGTAATTCCTGTGAATTTTTCCTCACTGAACTATAACGACATCAATCGATACATATTTGCTCCAAGTTATACATTACTTGTGGTAGTTCACAAATAATCTAACTTTCTGAAGTAATTCAGATATAAGGCTTAAAAACAATCAGTTTACTAAACTATTTTCAATGAAGAACCGGAGACCGAATTCCTTGGTAGAATCATCAATACGGAATAACTTACATAGTTAAATGACAGATAATGAATTAACTAGCAAGAGTACAGTGAGTACGGTTAATTTCATTATGATCAGATACATGTCACCATCATACATATGTCGAAAGACAAATAAGAAGTTTGTTTGAAGATATTTCATTTAGTTGGTCTACGAATTAACTGATTAACAAATATTTTTATTTAAAAACTATCCTCTTCCATATAGAATAAATAAAGATAAACTAACACAGACCTGAGCCACTCGACTTTACGAATGTTTTCCATGTGAATATATGATCGGACCAAAACTCCAAAAGATATTGAACTGCGGACTTTGAATCAGAGCTTTTAAGTACCTCCAGTTTATCTGTGGATAAAGCTGAAACGATTACTCCTGCTAAGGCAGTTGCCAAATCATTTACACCAGTCAGATAAGGATAAGGATTTATTCTAACAGAAGTCCCACCAGAAAAAACTGATTCCAACTGTCTTGTTATCCATGTTAACAAGCAAGGTGCTATATCAAACGATATTTTATCCGGCCACTTTAAATCCTTAGTTGGAAATTTAACTTCAGTAACTAAAGATAAGTTACACAAACTTGGATATTCATTTTCATAAAACGTAGTATAAGCCGGCAAATTTAATATACTAGAAAGAGAAAATAGGAAAACATTGATATAAACAGAGTCCACAAATGTTCTGACAATATCAGTATTCCAGCCACATGTGATATGATGTATATACCATACGTTCCATTAAGGGAGGAATACTAAGGTAAAACCAAGGAGAAAAAGATCTGGTCATCTGCTGAGAATGTGAGATATGTACAAATGTGTACAAAAAAACGAACAGTAAACAAACAAAAGTTATATATATATAATGGGGGAAAAGCCTTTAAAAACTACCGTCTGATATTAAATGCTAAGTGGCCTCCAAGTGCCCTGGTACGACCGAGGGTGCGGAGAGACCACTCTCCTTACCGAAATGCTCTCACATGGCCACGCGTATATAGCCTCTGCCAGGGAAGTCCTACACACTGCCTTCTCGCGACAGGGGTGTTGTTTAGGAAATTGAGAGGACGAAAGGCGAATGTTCGGTGCTTTAACTGAGTTGGTGGACACGGAGGTCACAACCAAGGGAGTTGGAAAACCCTGGTTCCAAACCAATAGTGCACATGGGCTCCAGTACCCTGGAGGAACAAATGACGTATGAACCAACTGTTGGTCATCAAGTACCATGAAACTGCATCTCCTGATGTTGCTCCACTGTCTTGTGGATTAGGTCTAGGGACACGGGCAGTACCACATCCCACACACAAATCGAATGAAATGACAATTAATACTGGGAATACTATTCTTGCTTCAATTAAAATTCAGACAATTCACATTCAATTGATAACATTCATTATTTTCCTTTTTATATACTACGTTACTTTCCTACACTCTTCTATTCTTAATTTGTGTATCTTATTTCCCACCTTATAAAGCAACTAGTCTATGGTGGAAACCGTGTTCTACCTAAGAGATTACGCTTCATTGACTGGTCAAAAGTTCAATGACACCACCGAATAACAGTTCTGAACCAGCCTTTCTGAAACTACATGCATCATTCAAATTGGCCTCTTTCATCATTCGCACACTAATGCAGATCGGACAATAGACAGAGTTGGCTATGTCTTTAGAAAGTTTCAGTATTAATGTTTGTTGTTTATCCAAGAACTGTATTCAAGACTGTAGTGAAGTACAACAGATTCGCTCTCAATTTGTCGCCACGAAAAGTTTGTTTGATGCACGTTTGTCTGGAGACTCTGTGACATTTTCCACTGGTTTTCGTAGAATTGATGTCGCACTAAACAACAGAGCTTAGGCAGCACTAATTGGTTGGATTATAAATTTCCATCATAGTAAGTAGAAATCGGTATGAAAAATAATATCTTTTCGTCATCTCAGCATATGCCCCGACAGATTGCAGCCCGGATGCAATCAAGGAGGTTTTTTCCACCAGTTAACTGTTTTTCTACAGAAAGTACATCCGACAAATATTGTAGTGCTAACCAGAGACTTGAATGCTCAAGACGAGTGTCTAGGCACAGAACCGAGTCGTTTAGTTGAACTATGGGGACTTGTTGGTCGAAGGACACGTAGCGGAGACCGTCTACAGCGAATGTGCGAAGACTATAACCTTTTTCTGTTAGCATTAACTAACGACACAGCTGTTCCCCAAGTGCCACCTGACGTCCTCAAGTCTGGACTCAGATTGACCACATTTAAAATCAGCTACCGCTGGCGTGATTGTGTGCAAGACTGTGGCTCCTTTTGGAGTTCCTACCTGGACTATGATCACTCACTAGTTTGCTCTAATCTTACCATACGTTAAAGTCGCCAACACCTTCATCGTCCTAAATAGACCGGAGTGAGTAATTTGGTTACAGCTCCTGTTCCAACTAAATGTAAAACGAGATGGGTGCAAAGTTCGTTGTATTCCAACCGAAAATTTTAGATGAGCATTGGTTGCATCTTCATGACACCAGCAAAAGGGCGAGTAGAATCACTTGAACCTTCGAGAAATGTCCCAACTATAAGCAACCAGTTTCTTCAGGTTCCTTACAACTTCTTAAAGCCAGTCGGTCTACTCCGGGTGAGCGTGAATTTCACCACAAACGACGACTGTTAAGTAATGAAATTGGGCAAAAGTTGAGTAAGGAACGAGAAGCCTGGTGATCGCAGCGCGCCAAAGAGTTGGAAGCAGCAGCTGAATCTGGTAACTACCGGAAGCTCTTCAAACTCATCCGAGCCACTAGCAGCAAGAAGTCTGGTGTGAGCTAAACAATCTGTGAGGATGACGGGATGCCAATCACTAACATCCATTGACGTCTTGGACGATGGGCAGAATTTTTCGAAGGGCAGTTCAACTGGCCTGCTGCTCCGGCAGCATCGATCAGACTGTACTGCCCTCCATGGCCGGTGACGACTGATCCACCAAATGAGGCGGAAGTCCGCAAGGAACTCCAACTCTTGAAGCGCTACAAATCACCTGGCCCAGATGACTTACCTCCGACTCTTTTTAAAGATGGTGGTGACTTTCTGACTAAGGGACTGAAGACGTTGTTTACAGAAGTCTGGGAACTAGAGAGTGTACTAACGTCATGGAATGAGTCGATAGTTGTCCATATCTTTAAAAAGGGTTCACGTCGTTCCTGTAACAACTATCAAGGGATAAGTCTACTTGCGATTGCGTCCAAACTATTGGCTTCTGTCATACTTCGTAAGCTGTTCAAAACCCGAGAAAGATTGACTCGCGAAGAGCAGGCTAGTTTTCGTTCTGGTCGAGGATTTATTGATCATATCTTCACACTCCGCCAAATGTTAGAACACCATCATACTTATCACATGTCTACAATCGTAGTGTTTCTTGACATTAGGGCCGCCTTCGATTCGTTGGACAGGACTGTTCTCTGGGATTGTCCACTGGAGGAGGGTGTGCCTGAGAACTTTATTAACATCTTATAGGCTCTATATACAAACACCTCAGGTAGAGTGGGGGCATACAACCACCTCTCTCCATTGTTCCATTTAAGCAGTGGGGTTAGTCACGGTTGCCAAATCTCACCATTACCCTTCAACTAACACGTCGATGACATTCTGGAAACAGCTCTGATGGATGTAGGTAACGGTAGCAAGGATCTGTTGCCATGCAATCTGCACTTAGTCACTTGGAAATTCGTGTCCGTGAACCTTCGAAGTGCAAAACACTTTTACAAGACTGGAAGGACACTGACATTGCACTCACCCTGGATAGTGAGAGGATAGACGTGGTCAAGGAGTTCGTGTATCTCGGTAGTTGCATAAGTGCTGGTGGTGGCGTGAGTGATGAGATCGATTCACGTATAATGAAAGCCAGAGCGGTTTATGCCAATCTGTGCCATCTTTGGCGCCTTCGTGATGTCAGTCTGGCTGTCAAAGGCCGGATCTACAGTGCGTCGGTGAGAGCAGGTTTACTCTATGCTTGGGAAACCTGGACTCTCCGAGTTGAGAATGTTAGACGACTCTCTGTGTTCGATCATCGTTGTCTTCGAAGGATTGCTGACATGCAGTGGCAACACCATTTTAGTAGTGCAGAGGTTCGGCATCGTGTGTTTGGGCACAGAGTCGATAATGCACTGGGTGTCACCATCTAGAAATACCGACTTCGGTAGCTTGGACATGTTCTACGAATATCGTCCTGGCGAATTCCACGTCGTGCATTATTTGCCGACGCTGGGATTGGTTGGAGAAAGCAGAAAGGTTGTCATAAAAGATGACCGTGACTTCTTTAACTGGAATTATTCTTTCTGGTTGTATTTTTCCTAACCGAACTGCTTCTAGATTTTAACAGTTTAAATATCCCCATAGAATATTCAAAAGCAAAGAACTGCTTCTCTCACTATCATTATCAGTATTAACATTATTTTACTCCCGTACACTTATTCCTGTTCATTGTTTCCATTCCTTTTTATTCTACTACCTTTCTATTTTCTATCTCTTTGCAACCTCATTATTATTGTGAGGAATATCTATTTGGTGCCTCCCTGTACTAATATTTATGTTTTAAATTAAATAAAATGTCATGCTAAGTTAGGAAAATGTTTGTATAATGTTAGATGAGGAAACATAGGTGGAAATGGATTGACATAAACAAGTATTTATCATTCAATATAAATTCATGTAAAGCATAACTAAAATGAGAATAACGAAATCTGAGGAAGAAAGATTGCTCAGAACTTCTTTATCTACTTAGCTAGGAAGGTGTTAATTTTTAGTGGTAACGACATGTTACTAAAGTCCATGTACTAAAGTTTACAACCCAGAAGTATTTGCATTGTTTACATAGTTGTCTCTAAATAACCTGGGTTTTCAAGAGATTCCTTTCTGTTTGAACTATGAATGTGGTATTTAAGTTTATTCAAATGTACATTACAAGAACTCCATGTGAACAAGTTCACGATATCTAGAATCTCGTATTTAGTTAATTGAAAAATGGATTCCTGAAAAGTGTAATTACAGAATAAATTTTAGATACCTTGAAATGATGAAATTGAGTTCGGCTAGATGCTTCACTTTATCTTGTAAAATGGAATTCAATTTGGCTTCCTGAAAGCATATAAAAAACCAGGTAGGAAAATTAAATTACGATTAAATACATCATAAACCACAAGAGATAATTCTACCACTAGCAAACAAGATGAAATCAAAACATAATCTCATAAATTACTTGTTCTGAATATCTTTTAAAAAATTTTGAAACTAATGTCGTTTTAGTGTGAAATCAAGATAATTTAGCATGTACCTCAAAGGTAGATAGAGAGGTCCTTGAACTAACAATCTAATGGAGAAACGAGCTTGAAGATACAAGAGACAATTTTGTTATGTCAATGAAGTAGTTGGATCATAGCTTTCTATGATATATAATCCGAAAATTTTCTTATATCACTATTTTTATTATTAAACATTGACGGATTGATTAGATAAAGGAAATATATCCACATGTACATAATTCGTAGATAAGCGGGAAATCATTAATTCAAGTAATAGTTCCCAATTTTACAAAAAGTGAAATTAAAAACTGGACCACTTGATAATGACTTAATCGCCTAAGATGGGAAAGTTGTAGGAGCGTACTTCTGAGGAACCCCGTACTATGAAGAGCCGCTTGTCCAATGCTCCCTGGTTTTTAATGGTTGCTTAGCTAAAGTCACTTTTCGATGTAAGCTAATCCTGAAAGGTTAAAACATATCAAGACAAAATGGAACTGCATAGTTAGATTTCAAAATCTTCTAGTTTCCTAATGTCACACAACACTGACAAAACTGTTCTTTATGAAAAGAAAAGTTAAGCAGCCTAATTATGTAAACTGGGAATAGATGAAACCAACAATGTGACTAGTATATTACATAGAAAACACTATAAAATCAAGTAAAACCATTGAAACACAGTCCAAATATATATCACATAAAACACTTCTCACTTCAGACTACTCGTTATAAAGGTTGATAAGGACGACTACAAATAAATGCACTCAAAACCACTACTTACCTCATATGTTAAATGAAAGGCGAACAATATTGTCGGTAGATAAGAAAGTACAATACGACTATCAGGATCATCACGAACATATGAAAGATAAACGGATTGTTTTTGATCACTAAAAGCCAGATTTTTTTCAAAGTCCATTTTCGTAAACAACAAATTAATTGATTTTGGTAAAAACAAAGATGGATGAACTAGTTCATTATCAAACCCTAAGTCTAAGAGATCGATCAAGTTATTCCAATCTAATTCTGAAGATTCTTCAGGACCGGGTCGACGGCGTTTAGACGATCGGAAGATGCCACCTACATCTTTATATCGTTATTCATAACAATGTGAAAAATAAATGGTGGACAGTAAATTTTAACTTTTGTTCGTAAAAAACATGAGACAAATAATACGAAAATATCCGTAGTGAGCTATGAGAAAATAACATATAAGATTGCAATGAAATATATATCTCCAGAAAATTTTGAAGGTGAAATCTGCAAAGTACTGTTGCAAAGAACTTCATACTCCAAGTGTATAAATAATTTTAGCAAAATAGGAAATCCATATACTTTCATTGTAAAAGATAATATAAACAAACAAATCAGGATGTTTGTTACATGTGTTCGTCTACTAACTGGACAACTGCTCAAAACTTAAAATTACTTACGAGAAATGATAACCACAAACGTTTTTTTTCCTAATTAAATGACTTTTGACCTTTTCTAATTGGTTGTTATTAGTTTTAGTTTGCTTTCATTATTATATATACTGAAATTATAACATTTCAGATTGTTCTAATTGAATATCAATTTTTTTCTAGGCTTCGTTTTCTTCCTGTATCAGCCACTAATTGTTGAAGTGTTTGCCAGCTGCCGTTATCGATTTCACATCAGAACCGTTCGTATTAGAATAGCTCATTTGTTTCGTAATTACTAAGTATCATAGGTCAATTGGAAAACTCCAATAGCGATAACCATTTTTATCAAAATTTAACAGTTACAAATTCCAGAAACTGTAATCGCTGCTATGAAAGCCGTCTAATTTTAGAATGTAGCTTAGAGTTATGAGGTCTACATATCATCTTACTAAAAAATACATGTCAAGTTTATAAGTAACTGAGAACTGACACAAAATATCCGATATTTCTTTGTAGTGATTGTTAGAAAGCAGTGTGAATCACTAAAGTATACGCGTTCAAGCGACTGTGATATATGAACTAATTGGCTTACTATTTTGACATTCCGAAGATACGATGTTTCCAGTGTGCCGATGATAAAAAGAAAAACCTGAAGCTGATAATATGAAATTAGCAAAACGATTCCATTCTCCAGGTCCATCAAAACAGTTTGTCCCAAGATCACCTGTGTCGTCGCAATAACTTGTCTCGGGTTCTTGGAATTTATATGAACTTTTCGTTCCTGGAGCATTTGATATTACATACCAACGAGCAAAAAGCATAAGACTTGCATCTTCAGGTAGACAACGATTCAAACTCGTTAAACATCGTTGAACTGAAAACACAATTAGAAGGAAACTTTACTTCAAACAACCGAACAAAGAAAATATCACTAGACAATTCATTGATGTATGATAACAGGATCTACTTAAGAAATAAGTGGATGACAGAAACAAAATAAAATTTACATAAATATTACTGTAATTAAGGAATAAATGTTTTTTACAATTAGATCACATATTGCACATACATAGTAACTATACGTTAAAATTTTTAAAAGGTGAACTTAGTAAGCATGCTACAGTATTTTACTTTCCTAAATATATCTAATATCTGTACGTCGATATCACTTAAGTATTGAATAGGTTAGCAGAAATGAAAAGTTTTTCAAGAAAATAACTAACGTTGATTGTAAATCCTATCGACAAAAGACTGACACTCGTTGTGGAATACATATTTAGATTCTGATCATGCTCTAATACGAGCACGCATTTGCTTTCGCCTCACTGGACGCACAAAAGTCAGGGCAGTTGGTGGCCATCACTCAGTTAATAAACAAATCAGAAAAAGCACCTACCAAAGATTTATGTTAGCATAACTTATTCTACTTCGAATCATCACAAGGGTGGGAAATTATGGAAATTAAGGCCGGTGTAAAAACAATACTACCAAAGGATTAAAGAACGAATATGGCTGAAAAAGAACAAAAGGAAGGTGGGATATCATGGTGAAATCCAATAATTACATGAAGATGATAAATAAATATGTCTCTACCACTGAGTTGGATTCCCGGTGTTTAAATATTATTCACTTATTATTTATTCTCTGAGACGACATTCGTAGAACATGTCCAAGCTACCGAAGTCGGTATTTCTAGATGGTGACACCCAGTGCATTATCGACTCTGTGCCCAAACACACGATGCCGAACCTCTGCACTACTAAAATGGTGTTGCCACTGCATGTCAGCAATCCTTCGAAGACAACGATGATCGAACACAGAGAGTCGTCTAACATTCTCAACTCGGAGAGTCCAGGTTTCCCAAGCATAGAGTAAACCTGCTCTCACCGACGCACTGTAGATCCGGCCTTTGACAGCCAGACTGACATCACGAAGGCGCCAAAGATGGCACAGATTGGCATAAACCGCTCTGGCTTTCATTATACGTGAATCGATCTCATCACTCACGCCACCACCAGCACTTATGCAACTACCGAGATACACGAACTCCTTGACCACGTCTATCCTCTCACTATCCAGGGTGAGTGCAATGTCAGTGTCCTTCCAGTCTTGTAAAAGTGTTTTGCACTTCGAAGGTTCACGGACACGAATTTCCAAGTGACTAAGTGCAGATTGCATGGCAACAGATCCTTGCTACCGTTTGTGGTCAAACTCACGGTCACTTGGAGTAGACCGACGAACTTTGATGAGGTGTAAGGAGCCTGAAGAAAGCCAGTGCTTATAAGCGGGACGTCTCGCGAAGCCGCAAGCAGCTTTACTCGCCAATATGATGGCGCCATGAAGTTGCAACCAATGCTCATCTATACTTTTCGGTGATATGGTAGCTAGCCTAGAAACTAGCTCGGTTAGATATTTACTAGCAACAGAAGTTGCAACCAATTTTCTGACATTAATCCGTTGATGACGATCAATTAATTGGTCACTGAAAAGCAAGGTAAGTTTGGCGCAGACCAAAGCATGATCAGAGTCCAGATAGGTACTCCAAAAGGAGCGGCAGTCTTTTACACAACCACGCCAGCGGTAGCTGATCGCGATGTGATCAATCTGAGTCCAGGCTTGAGATGCAGAGGGAGGACGCCAGGTGGCACATCGGCGATGACTGTGCCGAAAGTTAGTGCTAGCCAGAAACAGGTTGTGGTCTGTGCAAAGTTGCAGTAGACGGTCCCCGTTATCTGACCTGCGACCAACAGTCCCCATCGGCCACCTAAACGACTCTTTTCTGTGCCTAGACGCCCGACCTGAGCATTCAAGTCTCCGGCTAGTACTACAATATCTGTCGAACGCACTTTCTGGAGAAGAACAGATAACTGGTGGTAAAACTAATCCTTGATTGCATCCAGACTGCAATCTGTCGGGGCATAGGCGGAGATGACGAAGAGACATCGTTTCTCACGCCGATTTCTTCTCACTTTGATGGAACTTTCTAATCTAACAGCACATAACCGACTGTTAGTGGGGATCCAATCGATTAGTGCTGCCTCAGCTCTAGCGCTTAGTGCGACACCAACGCCGGCAAGACCAGACGAAGATGCCACAGGGTCTCCGGATAAGCGCACGTAAAACAAGCCTTTTGAAGCGACAGATGGAGAGCGAATTTGTAGTACTTCACCAGAGTCTTGAATATGGGTCTCGGATAGACAGCAAACGTCTATATTAAGACTTTCCAAAGACATAGCCAGTCCTATCTGTTGTCCGACCTGCATAAGTGTGCGAACGTTGAAGGCAACCAGTTTGAATGGTGCACGTGGTTTCAGGAAAACTGCTTCAGTACTCATATTCAGTGGTAACATACAATTTTCAACCGGACAGTGACTCGAGAACGTTTACATACAGTCGAATTTCCACCATAGACGAACTGCTGTATAAGTCGAAAAAAATAAGTATAGACAGAGTAGGAATAAAAGAGGGTGAATAATGACGTAGTAAATAATAATAATAATAATAATAATAATAATAATAATAATAATAATAATAATAATAATGTGAATCGTTTGATTGTTAATCGAAGCAAGACAAGTATTTTCCATAAATATCGACATTTCATCATATTTGTGTGTGGGCTGTGATACTGCCCGGGTGCCCAAACCGAAGCAACTGGTTACCTTAGGGGGCCACACCTCGAGCGTTTGACCTAAGGTCTGACCCACAAGGCAGTGGAGCATCGTGAGATGCGGTCCCATGGTAGCCGGTGACCAACGATTGGTCCATATACCACTGGAGCCCATGTGCACCACTGGTTTGGGATCTGGTTAAAGCGCCGGACATTCGCTTTTCATCCTCTCATTTTCGTAAACAACACCCTCCCCACGAGAAGGCAGTGAGTAGGACTTCCCTGGCAGAGGCTGTATACGCGTGGTCGTGTGAGAGCATTTCGAGAGGGCGGGTGCGCCCACCCCACTCAGCTCAAAAATTATGATGATCGTATGGATACCAGCCAACAAGTTCATAACTCAAGATACGATTCAACAAATTGACAACAACTCCATGGACTGACTCTAACAAACATTGATATTTTACTAATTTTCCAATAAGCCAGACAGCATAGTTAGTTACAGTAGGAATCGGTAAGGATTAACCAATACACTACTTAAAATAACCTAGTTGACGAAGATTCACAATATCAAATGACTTACCATCCTCTAACTAATGCTTTAATGTAATCTTATTAGTATTTGTTTAGTGGTCCCAACAAGCGTGTGCAATGTTTAGAAAATATCAACGTTTAGATACTAGCAGCCTATGTATGTTATCTACTTCAAAGGACCATGTTTAAGCCAGTTTATAAATGAAGCATACTTACAGCACGATAGACAAATGAATTCTTCTGCTGAGCTATAGGTGGTGTAAATTGATAAATTTCGAGTGAGATTCGTGTCCTGATGTCATTAGAAACAAACCCATTAGGGTAAATGAGATGTCGAAGGAATATAAGTTGGTTAAAGCACTCACTCCCCATGGCTAAACTATGTATTGATTATATTAGTATGGATATCCTTGCTAACCTGGGAGTTGTGTTCCTTAATTAGTTCATACCCAGACTAGTATTTTACAAATTCGGTCAGCATAGTGAAAAGACAAATTTCGAACTAAGTTGATTCTCAACGAACTACTTAACTGAAATGTTAGTCACATGAATATAGACCAAGCAACAACGTAGATTGTAAATTTTCAAATTTACTGTGAAAACGATTCTACCTAGTTTGCGTTTAAGTAAAAAAAATCCATAATGATAATATTTTGAACATAGTACAAAAAAGCAGGTTAGAATATAAACTTGGCAACAGTGTGTCTATTTAATTTATTCTCATTTTAAAAGTTGAATTCATAAGTCGATCTAATCCAGACCATCAATGAAAACCTGGAAGCACTGAACGATCATTTCGTCCTATTATGTGACTCCTCAGCAGTGTGCATCCACGATCCCGCATGGATGAATGAAACCCAGGACCTTCAGTCTCACGCGCAAACGCTTAATTCCGAGACCACTGAGCCGGTATTCAACGGTGTTAATGTCTAGTTTCTATTTATTGATTACACAATGCGGTCTAGAAATGTGAAGCACTGAAATATGTACTGTACCAACGAAAGAGACAGTAGAAATAATAACTGGAAAACAGTATCCTATTGCATGAAAACCTAATGATTGAGAAGTAACTGTTTCAAATACCAAGCCAACTCCATAAAAGTTAGAAAATAATTATCTAAACTGAAAGTAAATGTACGAAAAAACTGACCCATTTCGTTTTCTGCAGTGGTTGGCAAATACACACGAAGAAATTGATTAGAATCTACGGAGTTCGCAGATTTATCTACGCCAGTAGCTTTACTTTGATTGCTATCGTAAAAGAGTTCCCAGCTGGATCACACAAAGAAATTCTCTCCATAGATTTTACTTCAGATTGATTGTTCAATGCATTTATTTCACTGCAAGTTTCAGTATCAATATTCGAATGGTTCGTTTCGCAAAGATGGTCATTACCCTGTTTAGTATGCAGTTCCTTGATATTTATCAGCTGCACACAAATATAAAACAATAAGTGGAGATAAAATGTTAATTTCTTTACAACTTTTAAGGGAAACAAAAACACAGCACATAGGAACTCTCAGGTGAAAGACAAAATTACTATTAACAATGAACGTTTCAGTGACTGGATATAAGCAGCACATTTAAAGTATATCTTCCCTTCACCCTGAATACGCTGGCTGATTTAAAATAAGGTTGGGGAAAGAGTACGGATGGCCAAGGGAAAGTATTAGTTATTTACCCATCTTTCCAATTAGCAACAAATAATGCCTGGTAGTGATAATTTATGAATGTTTAGCAGAGAATTTAGATGAAGAAAATGAAAAATTCGACAAGCTTCTGTTCCAAAGATATTCAAAATGATTTGGGAGAAACTACAGAAGAGACACGGCATGACGGAATCTGGTTGACGACTTTAGATAAGTTACACAAGTATCGTTCTCGATCCCCAGTAAAGTTGAGACTCAGCTGTTCTTTCATAAATGCACTTGTCGAGTTTTACATTTGTCCTTTTTTGAGGATATCGGTCTAAGATTGAGAAAACATTTTATATATTATACTTATATTACCTAGCTGAATATAAAACTTTGTGAATTAATCAGCCAGAAAACTTGGATGGAAAAAAACTATTTGCAGAATATAACTGTTATATTTACTTGGATGTATTAGTTTGGTTACGAAATATACATGCATTTAGTTCATCATGACAAATTAAAAGGAAATAATCCAAAAAATGTAGATATTACTACCATAATCATCTACATTTATATTCACCAATTCAGACGTCCTTATTGTAAATAAGTTGGAAGAAAAAAAATACATCAGGATAGAATTAAGGAGGTATCAGCCATGGTTGAAAGTTGCTTACGTGAGGACAGTTATCCACAAAAATTCATAAGTAAATACGGAACGACTAGAAAAAACGATAAGAAATATCCTACGGTTGAGAAAAAGCCTGTCTTCTTAAAACTTGGCTTCAAAGGCAATGAAATAGATGGGAGGATTGGCTTTAGACTAAATGCAAAACTAAAAAGAACGTATCTAGCGAACAAGTTGGTGACCCTATACCAAAACAAATCCTGATTGCAACAATCAAATGTACTACTTTCAATTGTATTTACCAGTTTACATGCACGTTCCAAAGCACATATATAGCAAGAACAGGAATGAAGGTTGTGTCCACAAAAGTCGGGGCTAAACAGACAGGTTTTCAACAGTGCAATCGCTCGTCGTTTGCTGGGCGATGAACATGATGTTGTAGTCGCGAAATCATCCAAAATAATCAGCAAACAAAGGAATTCAAAACTGTTACGCTTTACCGAAATTGTTGCAATAAAAATATTAAAACGGAGTTTATGTATCCAAAAAGCAACAGCTCTAAACCTTGTTTTATCCTGGTGACCTTAATTTCGTGATATTATTACGTAAGACTTTGTTCTTATTTTTCTTTAAACTTGAATCAAAATTTCTGATATCTTATTTCTTACTTCTGAGCTCTGCTCAACTAGCCTATATCATATAATCTAACTTCTGTTTCGAGAAGAAAACTTTGCTATTCCCATGATTTTATAGGATATTCATATATTTAATCCGTAAATAAGTGAACGTCTGAACAGTTTTAATTATTCCGTATTATGGTCTATGAATATTATTTTATCTCCACACTGTAACTCAGCTTATTAGAGCCGTTTCTGATAAAAAGTATGTACATTGGATTCGTTTTAATGATTAATATTATGATTTTAGGTTGTAAGCGCTTGAAAAAATTCACGAAATAAGTGAATTCATGTTACTCTGCCACGATATTTGTTCACTCTTTATTCAGGTTTATAAATGAAAGTTTCTGCCTTTCGAGTAATTAGTAGATATGAAACATTGGTTCAGCCTGTTCAGCTACTAGCTATAAAAACGAATGAGATTGAAAATTGTGTTACAAAGAGACTAATTATCAGATTAATACTTTTTCGATACTCGTGTTTTAACCCTACCATAAGACATATCATATATATATATATATATATATATATATATATATATATATATATATATATATATATATATATATATATTAAGTAACCTAACCTACAGCCTCTACATTGATAAATGCAGAGATTTTATACACGTCTCAATACAATATTTATGTATTTATAACTGCACAACTTTAAGATGAAGTCCTCGAAAAAAACGACCCACATAAATATTTGTTTGAAATATTGTTAAAGGAACTTCTGTCAAATTTCTTTCAAATAGACAATTATCCTTCTCAATATTCATACCTATTCTCAGTTCTTTGCCATTGATTAAACTTTATCAAATATCATATGTATTCGGTTCAACATCGAATGTATCTCTGCATGTTACAGGCTGTTTGCAATTAAAGAGAGGTTTAGAAATAAATTCACTTTGCTTTTTCTATAAGATCAAAAATAGGAGAATAATACCTATGACTTAAAAAAAGAACAAAGACATATTAAAAGTTTCAAAAACAGTTAAAATGCATACATCACTTGAGAGTTCGCTAAAACAAAAGGTTTTTTTATTGGAAATTGATCCAGATGAAACTGTATAAGACTGATCAATCAACATTTGGTTTGAAGTCATAACAGATATACATTTAGACAGCACTGAATGAACTGTATTCTGATGCCATCGTTCAGTGTTCAAGAGATCAGGTCGCACAATAAAGGGTACTCAACAATTGACGCAGCATGTCTCACCTTGATTTTACAGTTTGTGGACCACCTACGCCAAGGTACATGCTGAGAAGCGGAGGTGGACTTAAGCCAAGTAAACAAATCTGATAAATGAGAAATAAAATAAAAGTAATTTCCGTAGCAACATGTGTTGGGATTGAAAACATAGTAAAATAAGGGACTTATGTTTATATTAATAACCTGTTAGATATATGAAACACTGAAGTGAAATAAGTAATGCAACAGTTTGACAACGGCAAAAAACAACCCTGTATCAAGAACATAGTTAATGTAAATTACTTCTTTAGTAAAATCATATTATAATAGTAAATAAACCTATTAGTTTGTCACACATAGAGAACAAAAAAACGAATAGTTCGGGTAAAATAAAGTCACCAAACTTTAAAACCCCAAGGGAGCATCTGTTCTTTAAGTATAACCTATTGATGGGTGTCAACAGTGTATTGAACTACTACTGACAACTGGAATCGCCTCTTAAAACCTATCCCTTGTGATTACTTTAACATAGAGAAAATGAGTTTTTTCGAATGAAACGAAATAATGATAGAACAGGAATGAAATCTTGTAATCGGGTTTTAGTTTCATTGGCGATTGAGCGCATACGAAACACGGACCCTAGAGTGGCTAACGTTTAAATGACTTTTGATGTAGATTTTTCGCGTTATTTTCCAGATGTATATAACCATTAGAAAACAAGTCGATTCATTGCCAAGATATTTGTTCAGCTTACTAAAGCTTCCAGTCAACTATTCAGTTTTGTAAGCAGTTATCAGTCGAGCACATCGTATCGCTGTGTATTATTTAAGAATTAACAATGTATATTCATTATCCAACAAACAAGATATCATCAACACCAGTTCAAAACAATATCCCTGTATGGTTTCATGGAAACTAGCGCTGGAGGATTTTTAAACTCTTATTCATAATATGTATTATGGTTGTCCACCAAAAATGCTACTTACTAAGTAAATACCTCAAAACAATTTTCAACTCTCTCACTAGATAAGCACCATTACAAATAACGTAAGATGAAGTATACTCTATTTGTGATTGCTTGATAAAAATAAACTGGGAACAAGAAAAAATATTATCGATGACAAACAAATACCTTTTTTATTCCTGAGTATAAAACTATGCCAACTCCCGGTTCCAAACAAATAGTTATTCGTGAATACGGCACATACACAGCATCACAGGCTCGAAGATAAACTAAATCACCAAAACTGTTGGGAAGTCTTTAAGCTGTTTACAATCGAGATAATTATCATTTATGCGTAAGCAAGCCAATCTGGACTGTCTACAATCGAAAATAGATGTGCCAGTAAGAAAACAAATCCACGAAGTAGATATTATATCAACGGCCAAAAATGCACGTGATTTCACTGGACCAGATTTTTGTAGTGGAAGAGTTACATTGTTATCCTTTGGTACTGCCTGAGAACTGATAGAAATATAAAAACTGATAATTCTCAAGCTTAGATTATTACTAACTTAACTTATGAACAAGTAACTAAATAGAATCAAAGCAAGAATACCACTGCCTGATAAAACAATAAGAGATAAGTACATTCATATAAAATAATCAAACCCAAGTGATTGCAAAGCATGCGCATGGACCGAGAAGCCTGGTGGTCGGAAGCTCTTCAAACTCATCCGAGCCACTAGCAGCAAGAAGTCTGGTGTGAGCTAAACAATCTGTGAGGATGACGGGATGCCAATCACTAACATCCATTGACGTCTTGGACGATGGGCAGAATTTTTCGAAGGGCAGTTCAACTGGCCTGCTGCTCCGGCAGCATCGATCAGACTGTACTGCCCTCCATGGCCGGTGACGACTGATCCACCAAATGAGGCGGAAGTCCGCAAGGAACTCCAACTCTTGAAGCGCTACAAATCACCTGGCCCAGATGACTTACCTCCGACTCTTTTTAAAGATGGTGGTGACTTTCTGACTAAGGGACTGAAGACGTTGTTTACAGAAGTCTGGGAACTAGAGAGTGTACTAACGTCATGGAATGAGTCGATAGTTGTCCATATCTTTAAAAAGGGTTCACGTCGTTCCTGTAACAACTATCAAGGGATAAGTCTACTTGCGATTGCGTCCAAACTATTGGCTTCTGTCATACTTCGTAAGCTGTTCAAAACCCGAGAAAGATTGACTCGCGAAGAGCAGGCTAGTTTTCGTTCTGGTCGAGGATTTATTGATCATATCTTCACACTCCGCCAAATGTTAGAACACCATCATACTTATCACATGTCTACAATCGTAGTGTTTCTTGACATTAGGGCCGCCTTCGATTCGTTGGACAGGACTGTTCTCTGGGATTGTCCACTGGAGGAGGGTGTGCCTGAGAACTTTATTAACATCTTATAGGCTCTATATACAAACACCTCAGGTAGAGTGGGGGCATACAACCACCTCTCTCCATTGTTCCATTTAAGCAGTGGGGTTAGTCACGGTTGCCAAATCTCACCATTACCCTTCAACTAACACGTCGATGACATTCTGGAAACAGCTCTGATGGATGTAGGTAACGGTAGCAAGGATCTGTTGCCATGCAATCTGCACTTAGTCACTTGGAAATTCGTGTCCGTGAACCTTCGAAGTGCAAAACACTTTTACAAGACTGGAAGGACACTGACATTGCACTCACCCTGGATAGTGAGAGGATAGACGTGGTCAAGGAGTTCGTGTATCTCGGTAGTTGCATAAGTGCTGGTGGTGGCGTGAGTGATGAGATCGATTCACGTATAATGAAAGCCAGAGCGGTTTATGCCAATCTGTGCCATCTTTGGCGCCTTCGTGATGTCAGTCTGGCTGTCAAAGGCCGGATCTACAGTGCGTCGGTGGGAGCAGGTTTACTCTATGCTTGGGAAACCTGGACTCTCCGAGTTGAGAATGTTAGACGACTCTCTGTGTTCGATCATCGTTGTCTTCGAAGGATTGCTGACATGCAGTGGCAACACCATTTTAGTAGTGCAGAGGTTCGGCATCGTGTGTTCGGGCACAGAGTCGATAATGCACTGGGTGTCACCATCTAGAAATACCGACTTCGGTAGCTTGGACATGTTCTACGAATATCGTCCTGGCGAATTCCACGTCGTGCATTATTTGCCGACGCTGGGACTGATTGAAGAAATAGGAGGTGGTTAGTGTATGACGTGGTATGAAAGAAAGCTGTACAGAACTTGCTTCTGTTGGTCCTTCATGGTATTCGGGTTGGTGTCCGGGAGACAGTCCGATACAGTGGCTTGAGACGTTATCAGATATGGCCCGGAATATTAGCCAATGGTGATCCAACTGTCACTTTATTTTACTTTCTTCATAAGGGATGAACGTAACTTCTTTAACTGGAAGAATTCTAACTGGTTATACCTTTGCTAACTGAACTACCTCTCCCATTATTATTATTCCACTCTCGTACACTAATTTCTGTTTGTTATTGTTCTCCTTTTTCTTATGCGCACTTTACACTCTCTGCCTCTTCACATCCTCATTGTTAGTGTGTGGTTCATATGTATTTTGTGCACCTTTGTACTAATATTTGTGTTCAAATAAAGAGTAATAAATAAGTAAATAACCATACCTAGGTACATGTTAACAGTATTTATGACAATGCTCACCAAGACAATTACGCTTTTTGCAAAAACCATGTCACTAATACAATAGTTATCACAACCCTAAAATTCATTAAAACATTTTGTGGCCTCCAAAATTTCACCGAAGTGATTGGGTCAGACATAAATAAGCAATCATCAAAAGTGAAATGAACACACTTCAAATTCAAAACCTGATAAATCACAGGAGACAAAAAATAGCTGCATTATATATACATATATACGTAAACATGTGACATTTAGTGTAGAATAATAACTCACGAGTTACATAAGTTACCATAAAGAGCTTTGTTTTTCGTAGTACTAGGACTATTAAAAATAAGTGATTCAGTTCTAGACGCTGGAAAAGGTAAATTTGGTAGACGACGACTTAGCAAAGCGAACCGACCGGAAGCCGGTAGATCAGAGACGTCTATAAGAATAAAATACAATAAATTCGTAATAAAATTATATAACTGTTACGCTTAAATACACAAAATAACGCTACTTGTATCCTGAAAATACGTGTTTCATACTTCACTACATTCGCTGTAAAATCAATGGAGCGTAACCCAAGTTAAGGACACCAACTATTTTACTTGTAACCCAGGTGAAGATACTCGGATGGAGGCGACAAAAAAGAGCATTATGTTTAACTAGAGGTATAGTAACCTAAAGACATCAAGAAAACCCTCTTGTTTAGAAATTAATAATCAGAAACAAATTTTGTCATTTTACTTATGATTCTACTTGCTATTCATAGAAGAGTATCAATATGGCAGTTTCATAAACAAACTAGTAAAAAGACAAATTTCCACATTTAAAAAAATAGTACAATGCATTTACTTACAAGGAACAAAATTACTAACGTTTTCTTTTTTGTAACTGGATTCATTATTTAATGGACTGAAAAAACCAGTGTTAGTTAGTGTACTATGCGATCGTGCTGAAGGAGTCTCTGACCATACCAGACGCAAACAAACTTTCGGGAGCAGTGGCTCATCCAGTAAATTTTCAACCTGATCGGGATCAATAGTGTAGAGCTTTTCAGTTCGAACAGGAGTTTCATGCAGATTAGAAGAATAAATATTGAGCCTCGTAGAAGAGCTAAACATGACAAGTAAAATAAAAATCACGTAATTAAAAAAAACACGGTGTTTATTAAACAATATAGTTCACGTAAAACACAACCAAAACAAACCACTTTCAATCTGAAGTAGCAACCAATCAAAATCTTAATAAATTCTCCGGAAAATTGCCTTTAACAAAAAACACCACAGCAGCCCTGTCCAACAAACCCAAAGCAATCCTGATATTAAGTACAACAACTGTTGATTTAAGAATGCAATAAGATGTGCATGCATTTGACGAAGGGTGGAAATGAAGTCAACGAATCCACGAATTGAAAAATTGGTCCGTTACTCAAGAGTCAGAATTTTAGAAGTCTTGCTTATTTTTAAGGGTATGAAAAAGCTGACATTTCAGATGTAATCAGCAACTAGTTTATACCCGTAATTGTTATATGCATTATGTAGGTCATTCTTGAGGTGTACAATAATAACCTTCTAGAACTACACAACACACTTTGCCGGATCTCTTCGAACAGTTCAGTCAGCACCCAGATCAAAAATTCGCCAACATCCTTTAGAGTCAGATATTAGTCGCCTAATTTTAATAAAATTTCGCGCTTAAAAGACCTACATTTGTTGTCATACTTGCGATCTACAGTTGCTAGAAAAAAATATATATATAACACAAAATTACGAAATTAAAACGTCATAAAGGAATCATGTAAACTCACAGTCGTCCATGTAGTGTAGTTATGTTGATTGAGTTGTGCTTCGGAGTTTGAATGCTACCTACTGGTTTGGGTGTGCCATTATTTCCTGCCTGCTGTGCTTGTACAAGAGATCCCCTTCTTAAGAGAAAACCCGATGGACTGTTGACTGTACATTGCAGATGGCTCAAGTTGTTAGAAGGTGTGACATTAGAGAGACGGCTGATGTAAGAATCGAGATTCGTAGGCGTAAAAGGAGCAGACTAGACAAACAAGAAGAAGCAGAACGTACACAAAACAATTAGTGGGAAAAACAGAATCAATAAACTTGTGGATAATATAGTTAAGTCGGCCGAGATAGCATAAAATCTGGGATAAATGTACATCAGAACAAGCTGTTATACTTTATTTGCACAGAGAGATGGAATTAAAAAAGGAATAAGTGAGTCGAAATAACAGTAGTATCAATCATAGTAAGAAAGACGAAAGATTGATGAATGAAGCTCAAAAGAAATGGGCCTAAGGAATAAAAAGTAAGAAATAATGTTGGAGATCAAGACAAACAAAGGAATAAGAGTGGATGTATCTACACCTTTGAGAACGATTTTGAACCCCTTTAGCCTTCACTATCTACTGGTTTCAGTTATCACACAGTTTCAATTAACCAACAACACACCTCAGACAGTCACCAATTTCACTCATGAATTTTATGTCTTGATTCGGCCTCCTGGTTTTCTTCCAACTTATTCATACATAAGCCAAAACCGTGAGTCCAGGTAGGCAGTAATTGGATATAAGGAATACATCATAACTACCCCAATCGATGAATACTTGGAGCCTCACTAAATAATTCCTTATCTTTCCTCACTACTCTGCACATGATATCATCATTACTCACCCGGTAGTCCCAATATATACTAGTAATGTTTCTATAGCCCCCAAATGCCCTGGTACGGCCGAGAGTGAGGAGAGTCCGCTCACCCTCTTGAAATGCTCTCACATGGCCACGCGTATATAGCCTCTGCCAGGGAAGTCCTACTCACTGCCTTCTTGTGGCTGTAGTGTTGTTTACGAAATTAAGAGGACGAAAAGCGAACGTCCGGTGCTTTAACCGGGTTGGTGGACATGGAGAGTTTACCTAGGGGAGTTGGAAAACCCTGATTCCAAACCAGTGGTGCACATGAACTCCAGAATCCTGAAGGAACAAATGGCGTATGAAACTAATGTTGGTCACCCGCTACTATGGGACTGCATCTCGTTACGACGCTCCACTGCCTGGTGGATCAGACCTTCAAGTCGAAGGCTCCGGGTGTAGCTCCCTAAGATAACCACCTGCTTCGGTCTGGGCACCCGGCAGTATCGTAGCCCACACACATATCAAATGAGATCTGTGTGGCGCATATGTATTTGGTGCCTCCCTGTACCAATATCTGTGTTCAAATAATAATAATAATAATAATAATAATAATAATAATAATAATAATAATGTTTTTATGACACTTATGGTTCAGTACTGCTAACCATATAAAGTTTAAAGCCAAGTTTTCCGTGTTCCGAATATAGCTTTTACATAGACTCTGTGCTCGCCAGTATCGCATTTACGGTTCTAGTAGTATATCTGTAGGACAAGGCATTTGAGCAAAAGTAACTTATGGACCGGTTTTTCATTTGAGTTAAAATTAAATAAGTATTTAGGTAAAATGGTATAATTTAGTATCGTGTAAAATTTACCAAACCTACCTTTTATAGTTTAGCACAATACTAATATGATGCACAATAGATACTTGAGCACGAACCTACTTCAGCTGGGAAGCCGAGTAGCAGCATTGATCTCAACGTGTAAAAATAATCCAACTTAATGCCAATTATATGATTTCGCACTCTGTAAATGAATTAGGCTAGTTTGGTCAACACCAGTTAGCCGAAATTAATAGTAGCCGATACAAGTAACATCTATCGCAACACCACTGTTACAATTGAAGAACCCGTTACCATAAATGAAGCTAATGACAAACAACTAAACTAGTATATACCATGAAAAATGAAACATACCAAGGATTGACCAGGAGATCGACGATTGCCACTGTGATTCAGACGAAAAGATTGCTTTTCAGTTCTCGTTAAACGTGATAACGATGCGGCAAAAGGACTCAAACAAATGGTAGAGTTCAGTGAACATCGGACGGAATGTTCATCAAAAGTACTTAAATCCTTATCAGAACTTTTAACATGCTTCACAGATTCAGGTTGATAAACCAGACCAGTCAACGCATGTGTAGCCACACTGGCGCGGCCATCAGGATCCATTTGATACAAATATATGTAGTCCTAAACAAAAGACAAACGTTTTGACATATTACCCATATTCACTTTATGAACCGAAACATAAGTCTTGGGTAATATTTCGACAACTCACCTTCCACCACCAATACACGATATCAAAAATTATTACTGTATGTATTACGTGTTATAATCAATCTTTAGTTTTTATCTACTCGTGTAGAATAATAATCTGAAAATATCATATTACTCAGAAGTACATGAATAAGTTAATTTCAATTTTCGGTGAAATCATGAGGAGTCAATAAGATAAAGGCATATAGAGATTGTAGAGATAATGTTTATGAAGAACTAAAAGGAAAACAATTTCACACTAAAGGCTATTGTTAGCGGGACATAGACTAGATTAAAGCATGCTCAATGCATGATTGCTTTGGTGCACGCTGATTGGTTAATTCTTATCCAATCAGCACTAGGCGACAGTTGGAGAACACTCTGGAATCTTCTTATGTAAAAACTATAAATATACTGACGTTTTCCCTATTGTGCTTCTGACTTGCTATTTGGAATATAATCTCTTTCCTGTTCAACCGTGTTTTGATTTGGGGACTTGTCGAGTGAATCGGTGTCCGAGAATACTAAGCAATAGGAATAGTTGGGTCATTACCGTAAGAAGAGAAGAGATTATAACAGACATAGACCGGATTAAAGCATGCTCAATTCACGATTGCTTTGGTGCACACTGATTGGCTAATTCTTATCCTATCAGCACTAGTCGATAGTTGGAGAATACTCTAGAATCTTCTCATGTAAAAAAACTATAAATATACTGACGTTTTCTCTATTGTGCTTCTGGTTTGCATCTTACTTCCATCTAACCTTGTTATTTGGAATATAATCTCGTTCCTGTTCAACCGTGTTCTGATTTGGGGTCTTGTCGAGTGAATCGGTGTCCGAGAATACTAAGCAATAGGAATAGCTGGGTCATAACTGTAAGAAAGAGATTATAACAGCTATCATAAATGATATCTATCAGTGATAACAAGGTATGAAACAGATGTCACATTGCTGATTAACTACAATTTCTGTCCTACTGAATGATCATTCATGAAGGTACAAAGTATTTTGATCTGCACAGATGACTATGCTACCCGATACAAAGTAGCTAATGTGGGTAAAATTTAATCACTGTAAACCATTAAGTTCGCTTTAGATCCTCAACGACATCCTCAAACTAATTTTTATTTCAATGACTAACCTATCTCATTAAAATCAAGCACATTTTATTTTTCCAAGTTTCCAGCACATAACAGGTTATAATATCTAGTGGCTTCTAAAAGCGTGCAGTAATCACTGTAAATTATAATTACCAGTCTACTAATTATTTTGAGTGAGTGGCATCTACCTAAAAGTAGTGCAAAACAAACGAAAGATATTGTATAATAATTCAGCTATGCCGACATGTTAATGTAAAATCTTTTTTTAATATGCAAGTAAAATAGTTATTACAGTACTCACATGTGACGAAGCCTTCTCTAAAAGCCAAACAGAATGTAACCTGGTTAAGGAGTGATATGTTATAACCATATTAAGCGGTGCAATAACACCGATTATTTTTAAATGTACATCACTGACGAAACCTATTCCAAAGCCTCCATTAGGTAGAGGGACTTTTAAGATAACAGGAGCAGCTTCATCAAGTGGGTGGGTGAGGCTGAACATAGAAAACAATGCACATGAACTCGTAGGTGTTGTGTTAGGATTGTCGGACCTGACTTCATAATTATTTGGCTGACGTTCAAGAAGTACAAGAGTATTCAGAGCCCAAACCTCTCTTATACGACATGGAATCCGTACCGTGTATTGTTCTCCCGAATCATCAATAAAAGTCATACGTTCCGACTCAAAAATAGACAATCCTTCTTGAATTCGTCCAGGTATATTCTCATTTACATGAGGCTACAAGTCAAGTGTATCAAAAGAAACTGATTATAATTCACTGTACTATAGATACAAAACAGTAAGGGAGGAAACCTATTAACACTATTTTTTACGTCCATTTAGGACCAGAACATAAAATTACTTACATATCCCAAGTCACTGGATGAAAGTCCGTGAAATCGATAAATTCTGAAAATTAACAAAGATGGATAATGGCTAGCAGTGGAAGCCAGGACGAAAACGCGCGTCCTGGATCCCACTACTAGCCACTATCCATCTTTGCTTATAATGCTTATAAATTAAGGCAATATCGAGGCAATACGCACAGTATAAACTCCGCCTGTAGCTCTAATAGGGTTACTGCCGGTCCCAAGCCCGGGTAAAGGAGGAGGGTTGGGCATGGGGTTAGCGTCCCCATCCCGTAGAAAACTAACTCGCTAAAAAAACGCTTACCAGAAAAAATTATTCAAACCATTTAAACTCTGCCCTGGGAGTTAGAAGGTCTTCAGTTAGAAGAATTATGACGCTTCATGGTGAAAGCCGAGTTCCTTCGGAAGCCACGAGGCCGATGCCCCTTCTAACAACCAGAGCAAAAATTTTTATAGGTACATGGAACGTTCGAACAATGTGGGAAACCGGGAAGACCAGTCAAATAGCAATGGAAATGAGGAGATACAACTTAGCAGTACTGGGAATCAGCGAAACCCACTGGACCCAAGCTGGACAGAAAAGGCTAGCTACGGGAGAGATGCTGCTATACTCCGGTCACGAGGAGGACAATGCTCCACACACTCAGGGAGTCGCTCTTATGCTGTCCAAAGTAGCACGAAATGCACTTGTAGGATGGGAGTCTCACGGATCCAGAATCATCAAAGCATCATTCAAAACAAAGAAGGAGGGGATCTTAATGAATATTATCCAATGTTATGCACCCACCAATGATAGCAACGACGACATTAAAGATCAGTTCTACGAGCGGCTACAGTCAATCATTGAGAAATGCCAAGAAAGGACCTAACTATTCTGATGGGAGATCTAAATGCCAAAGTCGGAATAGACAACACCGGATATGAAGATATCATGGGACGACATGGACTGGGACAGAGAAACGAAAATGGAGAAAGATTTGCAAATCTATGTGCATTCAACAAATTGGTCATAGGAGGCACAATATTTCCACACAAGCGTATACACAAGGCTACATGGATCTCACCGGACCACACTACAGAGAACCAAATAGATCATATTTGCATCAACAAAAAATTCCGAAGGACAATGGAAGATGTAAGAACCAGGAGAGGTGCTGACGTAGCTTCAGATCACCACCTAGTTGTAGCCAATTTAAAACTGAAGCTAAAAAAGAACTGGACAAGTGGACAAACAGCACTACAAAGGTTCAATACAGCCTTCCTTCGAGATACTGACAAACTCAATGAATTCAAGATAGCTCTCAACAACAGGTTCCAAGCCTTACAAGATCTACTGAAAGAAGAAGAAACTAGTATGGAGGACAACTGGAAAGGCATCAAGGAAGCATTAACTTCAACGTGTCAAGAGGTTCTGGGCCTAAAGAAACACCATCATAAGGAATGGATCTCTATAGAAACACTGGACAAGATCAAAGAAAGGAAGAACAAGAAGGCAGCAATTAACAACAGCCGAACACGAGCAGAGAAAGTCAAGCACAAGCTGAATACATAGAAGCAAACAAACAAGTGAAGAGGAGCATTAGAGCCGACAAGAAGAAATACGTGGAAGAACTAGCAACGACGGCAGAAAAAGCTGCTAGAGAAGGAAATATGAAACAGCTTTACGATACAACGAAGAAACTAGCAGGGAAATACAGTAAACCAGAGAGGCCGGTCAAAGACAAAGAAGGCAAGCCAATCACCGAAATTCAACAACAGCGTAACAGATGGGTGGAATACTTCGAGGAACTCCTGAATAGGCCGGCTCCAATGAATCCACCGGACATCGAAGCAGCACACATAGATCTTCCTATAGATGTCAACCCACCAACGACGGAAGAAATTAGAATGGCCGTCAGACAAATCAAGAACGGGAAAGCAGCAGGACCCGACAACATACCAGCTGAAGCACTGAAATCAGACATCGAAGCAACCACAAGCATGCTTACCTTCTATTCAAAAAGATTTGGGAGGAGGAACAAGTGCCGATGGACTGGAAAGAAGGACACCTCGTCAAGATTCCAAAGAAAGGAGATCTGAGCAAATGTGAAAACTACAGAGGCATTACACTACTGTCAATACCAGGGAAAGTCTTCAACAGAGTGTTGCTGAACCGTATGAAGGATGCAGTAGACGCCCAACTTCGAGATCAACAAGCTGGATTCCGTAAGGATCGGTCGTGCACAGACCAAATTGCAACACTACGGATCATCGTCGAACAATCAGTGGAGTGGAACTCATCACTATACATCAACTTCATTGATTATGAAAAGGCATTCGACAGTGTAGATAGGAGGACATTATGGAAACTTCTTCGACACTACGGAGTTCCTGAGAAGATTGTCAACATTATCCGGAACTCATACGACGGACTACAGTGCAAAGTAGTGCATGGAGGACAGCTGACAGATGCATTCCAAGTAAGGACTGGAGTCAGACAAGGCTGTTTACTCTCTCCCTTCCTCTTTCTTCTGGTGGTCGACTGGATTATGAAGACCTCGACATCTGAAGGAAAACACGGAATACAATGGACAACTCAGAATCAATTAGACGATTTGGACTTCGCAGACGACCTAGCCCTCCTATCACGTACACACGAACAGATGCAGATGAAGACAGCCAGTGTAGCAGCAGTCTCTGCATCAGTAGGCCTCAGCATACACAAAGGGAAAACCAAGGTCCTCAAATTCAACACGCAGAACAGCAATCCAATCACTCTTGATGGCGAAACTCTGGAAGATGTAGAGTCCTTCACATACCTAGGAAGCATCATCGATGAACAAGGAGGTTCAGATGCAGACGTAAAGGCGAGGATCGGCAAAGCAAGGGTCGCATTCCTACAATTGAAGAACATATGGAACTCAAAACAACTTTCAACCAATATCAAAGTGAGAATCTTCAATACGAACGTCAAGGCAGTTCTACTGTATGGAGCTGAAACTTGGAGAACTACAACAACCACAATCAAGAAAGTACAAGTATTTATAAATAGCTGCCTACGCAAGATACTCAACATCCACTGGCCGGATACCATCAGCAATAGCCTTCTGTGGGAGAGAACAAAGCAACTTCCAGCTGAAGAAGAAATTAGGAAAAGACGATGGAAATGGATAGGACATACATTACGCAAACCGTCAAACTGCATCACGAGGCAAGCCCTAACTTGGAACCCTGAAGGGAGGCGAAAAAGAGGAAGGCCAAAGAACACATTGCGTCGGATTATAGAAGCAGATATGAAAAGGATGAATTACAACTGGACGGAGCTAGAAAGGATTGCCCAGGACAGGGTTGGATGGAGAATGCTGGTGAGTGGCCTATGCTCCTTCACGAGGAGTAACAGGCGTAAGTAAGTAAGTACGCACAGTATACACATATGCCAATAAGAGACTCATCAATTGCAGTACTAAACATCGATGGGGAGATTCAAGTAAAACAATACCAAGTGGATGAATCTGGAAATTAACGTTACGATTAAGATTCCACGTAATAGAACCATACAGTAAATAATGATATTTCTGCACTTTTCCCCTTGTGTATTAATTTGGACAACCTGTGTTGAATAGCAATCGCACCAGTTGGTGTCGTGATACACACTTGAGATCAGTTGCGTGAATTTCATTGCAAAATACATATAGGTTTGTAGTACATAAAACAACCCAACCTCTGCAAACTTGATCAAGAACAAGAAGTTGATAGGACGGTTATGAACTACATTAGTCTTTTGTTGCTATTTCAAGATGAACATACAACCTGATCTGTTGCAGTCATTACAACCATTATTTTGGGTTAATTGTTACAGAGTTTCTGTGAGGTTAGATACAGTTGATTTGAATAGATAGCGGGAAATTACAAGTTTTGTTCACTGGTACTGCCAAACTACTGATGATCTATCTTTCTCTCAATTTTTTAAGGCTTTCTATTGTTTTCACTTCCTTGACTTGCGTTACTTTTTCTTCGCTGTGTCAGCTAACAATCAGACATGGTGGTGTGCATCTAATATGCTTATTAATGACCGACATGTACTGCAACTCATAAACTAAGCACAATGTTATGTGTTCGATATTAGAACAAATCTCATTCTTTTAGTGTCCAAGACCAAATAAAAACCATATCTACTAGAAATTTCATGAAGAATTCCCCTTCAGTAAACACTGTCTGGCACTTTGTAGCGATAAGGTTTAATAAAGGCATGATACAATTATTTGTGAGGCATTAATGCCTCTACTCTATCCTGTTTTTCAATCTTTTGGCCTTTTCGAAGGAAGTTCAAATCTATCATGAGTGAATACATGGATAAATAAGGAAAACGTCAAATCACATCTATAGGTATATAAGAACGTATATGCCGAACTTCCATTTCCTGGATGTTTCATTTATGTTAAATTTACTAGCACAACTCACCATAAATCCCTGACCAGAATGAAGAGCAGGTAGAAAAAATGAAGATTTGAACGCATCTATGACCGGAGTATCGAAATTGAGTACAAGCTTCGGAAAGGAACAAGCTGTTTCTGTCCCACAGCTCCATACGATACTATTTTGAGAGATATAGAGCTCATTGAATAGTCCACCAGACCCCCAAGTTTTCCAGAAATCAGAAGGCTTCAAAATCAGTGTTGTGAACACCAAAACACTTACCTGGTCACCTGATAAGGTGCTTGATCCATTGTGTATACTATCTTTATGACAAAACTCCAACAAGTACTGACATCCAAGAGGAAAAACATCAACAACCGATTTAGCTGATATCATGGTATCTGACATTTATGCGTCTACAAGTACACAGACGTATCACATCAGTCAGTGAACATGGGTAAGTGTAGCGCACAGCTGAAATATAACCACTGTTTCTCAGCAGTTCAATGAGGGTTTTACACCAACAGAGGTAAGCATTAGAAGTCAAACGGGTTCAAATGGTTGTGGACGGAATAGAAGAAGCTTTAGCTTAACAGGCTCCCGTGTCTAGTAGCAGGGGATCACCAATACCTCCAGGCAGGAACCTAGGTATATTAACTATAATAGATTAGAAAAAAAGAAGTTGGTAACTCATAATAAGATGTTAACCGTAGTCCTTAAGAATAAGTTAGGTTTCCTCTTAAAGGACTCCTGGGAAGTCGCTTGAACTAGTTCAGTCGGCAGTGAACTCTAGCATTTGACAACTCTTAAGGAGTAGAAGTTGTGTCTATGGTCCGTTCTGCTATGTTGTATCTCCAATTTCTGGGTGTTACCCCTTAGATTTGCATTGGGGCTAAGCCTAAGTAGGTGTTTAAGGGGATGTCCAGAAGTGTTAAGGATACTGTAAGCCATCAGAAGGTCACCACTAAGACGCCTATACTTTATTGGGTAAAGGTTTAGTGATTGGAGGCGCCCTTCATAAGGCTTAAATTTAAGTCCCTGAACTGACCTCGTTGTTCGCCGTTGGATACGCTCAAGGGTGTCCTTATCTATATGGAGTGAGGGAGGAAATAATATGTGGACGAATAAAACTATTGAAGATTATATGGAAAGTTCTTCCATCGGACTGGCCAAAAATGCGCTTCAATGTTACCAGTGCAAGATTTGCTCGAAAGGCATTTTTGTCACAGTTAGCGTAAGACTTCAAATCGTTGGGCACCAGGACTCTTAAATCTTTTTCGACTCGGGATACTACTAGAGTGGAGATTCCAAAATTGTAACTGTAGTCTGAGCCATGTCTCAGATGGACTACTTTACACTTTGAAGTGTTAAGGGTTAGTCGTTATTGTCTGCCCAACTTTGAAGTCGAGTCAGATCCTCCCGAAGTGCCTGTATATCGTCTTGGCTGCGTATGTCTCTCCAAAGTTTCACGTCATCAGCGAAAAGTAATAGGTCAGACGATACCTGTTGTGGAAGATCATTTATATAAATCAAGAAGAGAAGAGGTCCTAATACTAAACCCTGGAAGACCCCATTAAGACATTCCATGGCCTGAAAGGAAGTGAAGCTAACCCTGACTTAAAAATGTCAATTTTTAGATATACAGTGAGCCACCACAGTCAGCAGGTTGATTATACGAGAGTTACCCTTCCTGAAACCTTGCTGTTGAGGTGAGATGAAATTTAAGGACAGTAAATAGTCATTTATACCATCGCATATCAGGGACTCCATGATTTCTGAAGGTATAGAGTGAAGAGCCACCGGTCGGTAGCTTGAAGGTTCGCTGAGTCGACCTCCTTTGAAAGTTGGTGTGATGTGAGTCAGCTTCCAATTTTCCGGTAGTTTGCCCAGCTTAGTGAGTGTGAGAACATCACGCTAAGTGGTGTTGTCAGGATTGAGGCTGCTTCCCTCAGTATAGCAGAATGAACCACATCTGGGCCAAGAGAAGTGTCTTTTCTTCGGTGCTGCAGTTTCTAGTATACCAAGCTAGCGCTCATGTTCACTTCGGAATGTCCTGTGCAGTTGCAGATGAAGCTGTCATCAGCATAGTTGATGTGGGTCGGTTGAAATGTCCGAGAGTATTGTTCAACCAAAAGGTTAACGGCGTGACCGTCGTTATTAGTCGGGCCATTAGGACCTAGTAGTTGGGAAACTCCAGTTTTGGCTTGACGAAGAGAGGCTGCATAACGGAATAAGCTTTTCGGACTGGAGAAAAATTTATCCATAAGCTTTATCTGGTACTGAAGCCTGTCTTCTCTTATAGCCTTCATGCATATGTTTCCTATATGTTTGTATTGCCTGCACGCACCGTTGTTGTCATTTCGTTTGTACTCTACCCAAAAGTGCCTTTTGCGGCTTAACAGGCGAAGAGTGCGATTCCTGATGATTGTGGATTGCTGATAGCTATGGGGGACTGTTTGAGGAACTTACTGCTTTTAAACACATAAGAGCGTGTGCAGTAAGAAGTTCTAATGAGCATCCACATCAAGTTGTGGGTGAACATCCCAATCCACCTGCTGTATATAGTCCTGTAGGGCTGACACACTCAACCGTTTGAAATTCCAGCGCCTGTTGTTGGTGGGATATATTAGCTCAGTTTCGTTGACAAAACTGAAGGCTATAACGGTGTGCTCAATCCTCCCCTGAAAAGCCAGGACTGAGAGGTTGTCAACTAAAAATTCTTCGTTTGTAAATACCTAGTCTAAGCGTGACGGTATCTGATTGTTTCTTCAACGAGTTGCCGACTTCACATTTTCGTATAATCCCAGATTTTTAATGAGGCTGAAGAACCGAGCTTCAGTTGAGTTTTCACCTCCAATAAACGAATGTTCCACGAAATTGACTCTAGGGAGATTGAAGTCTCCTATTATCAGGTTATGAGTGAAACCGAGACGCGCAGAACGGGATAATCCTTCCAGCACACGACTGTCATACTCAATGACCACAGTGGGCTTCCTATATATCAGAAAAAAAGAAATTGGTAACTCATAATAAGATGTTACTCGTAGTCCTTGAGAATAGGTCAAGTTTCCTCTTAATGGATTCCTGGGACGTAGCTTGGATTAGTTCAGTCGTCAGCGAATTCCAAGATTAGAAGTCAGATAACAAATTCCAACCCTCCCAATTTCTAATACACTAAAAATTCGATTTCGCTCGAAATAACTATAACTGAAACAAGTAAATTGGTGGCCTTATAATCTTCTAAATCTGAAATCATCTATTGTTTCCAGTGAAGAACCTGCTGACGTGAAATTAATAGACGAAAGAAGGGTTACAAAATGAATTGTAAAAACGTTAAGTATTGTTGACATATGTGTACGTTACACTAGGAACATGCTCTAAGTAAAGCGCCACTACTACCTGGAGGCGGTTGTCATGCCCTCTTATTTTACAGACTCAGTTGAGCCTTATTAAATTGAATGTTCATTCGTTAGAGTCCCATTACATTAGAAAGGTCAATTAGAGGGTGAAAGAACCAAGAACAGCAGCTTCACTGGCCTCTGGAACATAAAAACTGAATAGAGATATATCTGAGTTGATTATGAAGATGACACAGGTATTCAGTGTTTGACAACGCTTTTATCAGCAACGCCTTCTAATATAATTCGTTCTCACCCAGAGAAATCAGAAGACAGAGTCGAGGAGATCGGAAGAGTGTATTTGGCGATTACCAATATATCCGAATTCTCTGATCTAATCTGGCTAGCGATTGCGGTTGATGTTGAGCACAGCGTTACCACACGTGATCTGGTGCGGATGCATGACCGAGCGCCTTCAGCTAGATGAGTCCACTAAAACATATGGTCAGCATACAATGTCGAAAACTTACAGAGCTATTTATTTTGGGGATTTATTTACCGCTACAGATCACTCCCCCCCTAGTGGGGCAGTGACGACCCTAAGACGTGTCCAGCCAGAAGTTTAAACCCAACGAGTTTGTCGTTGGTAAACACTCTTCTGATAGCTTACTAAGTGTAGCAGCGTCTGGTCGTCTTTCCTTACTACATGGGACCGAGGTACAACATAGTAAAAAAAGAAAAAGTTACAACGAAAATTTCGACTCCTCGTAAACTGCATCGTTCTTTTCCAGCCGTCCTGGGAAAGAAAAAAGAATATGTAAGTGCATGTCGAAATACACTCGTATGTGCGTAAAAACACAATGTCGGCGAAAAAATGGAAAATAAACTCAAGCACACGTAATAGCGTTAAAAAATAATTTTGTTTTTTTTTGTTTTTTTTAAATAAAAATAAAAAACATATAGGCATATTAAAATTGTTTTTTTTAATATTATTTATTGTCAAAAGAAAAATCGAGATAATATAAAATGTCGAGTAGTGTCTTACGTGCAGTAGTCGTTTAAATGTTCTGGAAATCGAACTCTTCTTCCAGAACGCGTCGTTTTAAGTTTATTTTCGGATACTGTCGAAGTATCATCGTGAGTGTTGGTTGTCGGATGAGGTATTATGAGTGTCGGAGTCATGTCGTTCGATTGTACCGAAGGAAAATCGACGTAGATAGGATTTCCTTCTAAATACGCTGCTTTTAAGCGATCGATGCTGATGCTATCGTTGGTTCCGTTCTTATCGATTATATAGTACTTAGATTCACGTTGAAGAACTTTGAAAGGTCCTTCGTATGCTGATTCGAATGGTCGTCGATGCGAGTCTCGACGAACGAAAACGTGTGTACTATATCGCAAGTCAGGTTGAACGAAAACATCGGTTGATTGAGGTCGAGTGGAAGCAGGTTTAACTGAACGCATTGCGTTTGTAAGCCTGTTCGTGTAGGAGGTTAGATCCATGTTCATTGAAGAGGATGAAGGATCCACGAATTCTCCTGGAAGTCGAAGTGTCGTTCCATAAACGAGTTGAGCCGCAGTGTATCCAATGTCAGCTTTCACTGCATTGCGGATACCCAGTAAGACGAGTGGAAGAGCGTCGGTCCACTGTGAAACGTTTGCAGCTGATAGTGAAGCTTTTAGTTGTCGGTGGAAACGTTCTACCAACCCGTCTGCCTGTGGGTGGTAGGCGGTCGTTCGGAAGCGAGTGATTCCTAGAAGTGTGGTCAGACGACGGAAAAGATCAGATTCAAACTGACGTCCGCGGTCTGTAGTGATGGTTGAAGGGCAGCCGAAGTTTGCTACCCATCGTTCGACGAAGGTGCGGGCCACTGTTTCAGCAGTGATGTCCTTGATAGGTACTGCTTCTGGCCATCGAGTGAAACGGTCTACGCAGGTTAAGAGGTAAGAGTATCCATTTGAATCTGGTAACGGTCCTACCAAATCTAGAGGAACATGGTCGAAACGAGCATCGGGAGTTTTAAATCAGCCTAAGGAACATCCGTTGTGTCTGATGATCTTAGATTTTTG